GTGTTATGTTGCACATGAATAATGGTTATACTTTCAAACTTACAAAAAGTTTATCTTTCATCTCTGATTTGGAGATAAATCCATCATTGTTAGTATCTAACTTTTTGAATGATAGGATGGTCACAAAGTTGAGTTTCATCCCCAAAGTCAAGATTGGAATGTCAGACATTGTCTTTGTACCGTAACTAGATAGAGAAATCGACGTAAAATAAAAATTATATTAATATTTCTCAGATAATTTTATTAACTTTCTACTATTTTACTTTAAAATATGATAGAAAGATATAAAATAAAAGAAAACAAAATTTTACCTCAAGTAGTTATTGCCATAAAGACTTGTGTCAAGCCCGGTAAAATCCGAATCAAACAACATTCTATGGTGAGTACTATCTAAAACTCCGTACTTATTATTGTAACTTTTGCCAAGGAGGTTTCTTAGGTAAAGTTTTGAATGTGGGATGTAGGTTCGTGCGTTAGCTCTGCTCAGATGGCCAAATGGAGTCACTGGACCTAGCACGCTGCTATATTTGTCCTGAATTTATACATATTTTTATTTTTATGTAAAGTTAATAGGTTATGTATTAGTAATTGACATACGAATATAATTTATTCATATATTGTATTTTTATTATTATTATTATGAATTAAAACAGCGAAGCAACTCTGAAATTATTACTTACTCCCCATCCAAGAACCGATCTATCATACTTAGTCATCGGACCCAAAATGCCTCCATATTGATCCTGGAATGAAGTATTTATAGAGTGCTTTAGCCAAAATGCATTTGAATTACACTCTTTTTACCTTAATTCGTAAACATATAATAATTTAGAATCAGCAATCATATGACAAAATAAATGGAGAACTACTTACTCCCCATCCATGTACTGATCTATATGGGAGACCACCAGGGTAAATACCCGTCATACCCACATATGGTGGATAGAGTCTATCCACATACCTCCCTACGCAAAGGGCAGGTAGGACGAGAAGAAGAGACAAAGCAGCAAACATTATGCGGTGTATTACTGAAAGACAAAAATGTCGACATATAAAATCTACTAACATACTTCTAAAATTCAGTCTTTGCATCCTAAATTAAAGTCAGGATATTTAAGTGTTTCCAAATAATATGGTGGCCTAACATTTAAATATGAATCTCTGTAGATATGTTAACAAACGTTCAAACATCTGTGTTCTATTTCTGTAAAAGATGACTTACCTGATAGCTTCTAGAGTTAGCAGTGATTTGAAAATATGGTCCAGTCGGCTTTTATTTGTTTTGATATGTGGACCAGATGATTCTTTTAAGAGAGCAGCCTGATAAGGACATTGAAAGTACTTCAAAACTCTCTTTTATCAGACAGAATTTACTGAATTTGCAATTTTGGTTTTACACACATCTGCAGGTGGTAAATAAAAAAAAATTAAGTGCCTCAAAACTTTAAAACAACTGTCCTTGAAGTTCTTGAAGACCTTTCTTTTTATCAGACAGACTTTACTAAATTCGCATTTGTTGGCATAAAATGTGATAAAAGAAAAAGAAATATGTACCTCCAAACTTTAAAATCATTTGTCCTTGAGCTTTTTCTGTTTAGATTTTATTTTATTAGTATGCAGTCTAAAAGAAAATGAAAAGCTTATTTATGTTTCTGAAGATTAAATATTTCTCAGCAAGAAATATTTTTGAGAATATTTATGAATAATTGTGCAGTAAATGTATCAATTCGAAAAATATTTTACAAAATGTCTGAGTCACCATTTGAAAAGACAAGTTAGTTTAAGTCATAAGGAATAAAACTTAGCACTTGTTGCATAATTAGCAAACATGTTCATGAGAAATTTTAATAGAGTATAGATTTTGTAAATACATCGTAAATTTGATAATTCAATACATTTGTTTATTCTAAAAATTAAGATAAATCAACTATTTCTTCTAATATAGTGCATTGAAAACACAATGTCTTGCAACCACTTGTTTCATGGAAATTAATACATAACGAAAATATAAAAGTATATTTCATTATACGTTTTAGATAAGATCCAAAGATATTTGGAAACAGAAAATCGGGCGTGATTTATCGTAAACTATTTCGTATATTGTTTTAAAACAATAAGGGTTGAGATTGCACTTCCATTAAAATTGGTATTTCAGAAACCGAAAATAGAGTAAAATACCACTTCAGTATATTTGAGGTCAATTTAAAAGTAAACGAAATACAAGTATCATATAAACGAAATTTCTGTTACTTAATTAAAACATTACTTAAGATAACGTGTTCGCAGAAGGATACACAAACAAACCCAGACACAAACACATGCACATACAGAATAATTCTAAACATGCATTTTTTTTTTACTCAGGAAGGTGTAATACGTCATTTTGTATTTTGCACGATTACAGTATTTATCTCTATACTCAGTATACGAGAAAGTAAAAATTGAATTTTACTTAAGCGTATTTTTATTTTATTTCGAAAGAGGTAAACATATACACATACTTGTTTAAATGCTGATTCAGCAAAATGGAAAACAAAAAAAAATGATGAAACGTCTTGCCTTTATTTGCAATTGTACATAAAGTACTTTTACTTCTTGTAAACTCTTGATAAGATTTATCTTCATTTGGTATTAGTAAAAAAATAAGAATTTCATTTTAGAATACTTTAGAAAGGAAAAACAAAAGAGAGAAACAAACAGAGAGAAACAAAAAAAAAGAAAAAAAAAGAAATAAAGAAATAAAGCTGAAATGAAAAAAAAAAAGAAACTGTATGTTTGCACAAAATTGCTGTGTTGCTGGTAAGAAAGAAAGGAACAAATTAATTTATCAATGCATGATAGAGAAAATTGTGGGGACAGCTGTTGCCAACTACAAAATTACAAAAGTTAAAAACTTCATTAAGTTTGCGTCAATTAAAATAAAGGATTTTCTTAACTATTCTCAAATTTCATCATTAGGTTAAGTTAGGAAGGCTTAATTTTAAGGATTTTTAAAGTATTTTCTAAACTAATTCTTTTAACACATATTTATTTTGGATAAAACCAATTTATATGACGTTATCACATTTTCTAGTTTTAAATAAACTGCAACCAAACATCAATATTGTTGCAGTTTTAAAATGTACGCTGTTTAATGTGAAAAAAACGTCTTTTTCTTATATAATAATTAATGTCTTGCCTGTACCACACTGAAATATTATTCTCTATTTTACTGAAAAAGGTTCCGTAATTTAATGTGAATATTTTTGAAGCACATTTACTTAACTTTCATATTGGTTATAGTACTATTAATTGAACTACAAAATAATTATAAAGCCTAATGTCTACCTTTTCAAAAATCAAACCGGTTTACTTAATTTAAAAGAAAAACATTTTAAATAAAGATTGACATAGTCTTTATATTTAAAAGTAGTCTACTTAGATTTAAAAACTGAATTATTAACATATTGAACAATAAAACAGAAAAAAACGCCTTAAAAATAACTTCAGACGGAGAGATGCAAGGAAATAAAAATTAGAAAATAAATATTTAAAAACTTAATGTATCAACTTAAATACGTTCTTTCAAATTATGTTACGATGTTAAGAAATGACATGATTACTGTCTAGTAGTTAAAACATGTTTCCGATCAAAGACCTTTGACAACAAAATATTATTTTCTGCATCCATTGCATTACAGAGAGATAAACAGCATGTAGATGTTGCAGGGCTGACAAGGAAGAGGTGGGATATTTGGCACTGTTTTACCGAAATTTTACAAACCAAGAAATAATACAACAATAATTTATAATAATTAGGCATTGTTTTTACAAAATACTTTACTTATTTTAAAAATTATCAAAATAAGCGAATGTTTAAAATTAGACTACTCTGTCAATTTGTAATTAAATAAGTTACTTGTGTTAAAGAGTATGGAATAATAGTATCATTTTTTTCAATGCCGTTTTCAATGTAAAGTCTAAACAATATTTACTGCATCAATATTACTTGTATTATGCTTCTATAGTTTGAGGAATTTCGGATTCTTTTATTGGTTTTTGTGTTTATTTTACTATACATTTTTTTACACTTAACGAAATACGTTGATTGCAACATTGGTTTTAGCTATCTATCTATATCTATCTCTCTCTCTCTCTCTCTCTCTCTCTCTCTCTCTCTCTCTCTCTCTCTATATATATATATATATATATATATATATATATATATATATATATATTTATATATATATATATATATGTGCGTGTGTGTGTGTTTCTTTGAATATGCAATTAATTGTTTTTTATAGTTTTGTATTGATTTTATTGGATCTATGTTTATTGAAATGTCAATAACCTTGTTGATTAGTATGAAGTGTCCTCTAGTGTATGTTCGCACAACTATTTTTTACATTCACATTGAAGTTTTATTACCTAGCTGTTTACATATTTTATCATTTCCTATGGTGTAAATCACTAGCTTGTATATTTTATTGAGTTTCTATTTTTAAACACCTTTAAGTCTTACCAAAAACTTAATTTGAAACTTAATATTTTGAAATTGTAAGTGTTCTAATTCTGAGTTTTACTAAATATATGTGTTACAAAAACAAATCTTAAAGCAATGTAAGTAAGTAATTTACTTTATTTCTTGCAAATACAAAAATACAAAAATAAAAATGAAGTTTAACTATATAATATTAACTGACAATTCTAAAACACTTTACAATTGAAGACACCAACATTCCCTATATCAAACAAATTAAACTTCTTCAGAGAGTTAAACTTAAATGATGTTGTAATTTAAACTAACATCCTTCTCTCATGAATTTTTTTGGCTTTGTTTGCAGATATCTAAAACAAAAGAAAAATAAAATATATACAAATATTAACAATCAAATACAACATTCTACCTTTAACGTATATGGGTTCATATTTGCAATTAAAACGTGGTAAATTCGAGAACTTGATTTTTAAATAGTATTTTCTACTATTTGTTACTTGATTTAGAATATAATGATCTATTAATAACGTGCTTGCCTTTCAAACTCAGTCTCCGAGATGTGGCTATCTCTATTTAAGTCAGCCTCATCAAACAGCGAATCAATGTCACTTCGGTCCACAGTTCCGTATTGGTTTTTCTCCATACTGTCGAGACGATTTTTGAACATAGTTTTGGTGTGTGGATGTAAATATTGAGCCTGGCTCCAGCGATCGTTCTCATCTTGTGTCATTTCAACATTTTTGTCCTCGTCTTTGTTCTTAGATTTGTTACAAAGTCATTTTATCAAAAATATTTTGCTAATGCGTAATACATTTTTTATAATTCTAGTTATACTCATTAGCATAAAAATCAAAATTTTAAAATAGTATTTTTTTTTTCAAAGATACGTTTGTGTACAATTACTTTAAAAGAAACAAAATATTTTAATTTAAAGTAAGATTCTATTTTTTATAATTCTCTTTTTTTTTATTTTACATATTCTATGTGAAACAGCAAACAAAAACAAATTACTGCTTACAATCAACTTCGATTCCATCTCTGGCTTTGAAACAAGTCCGTCTCTGTTGGAGTCCATTGCTCTAAATTCGAACAAGGGAGTAATCGAGTCTTTTCCCATTCCACTGTCGTAAACACCTACGCAGCCTAATTGCTTAGAAATATATCTAAATAAGAAAAACAACATTTTTAATGGAAGCCCAGCTCAATATTTCAGCACTTGTAAACCTACTAAACTAATGTAATTCAGTAAATTATATATTGTTTGTTTAAACCTTTTATACTCGTTTTCTGAGATCTTTCCATCGTTGTCCGTGTCCGCCTGATCAAGGGTGATGTCTACGTCTTTGCTGTCCAGCACTCCATTCTTGTCTTTATCCATGTCATCAAAATGATCTTTGAGTATTTTTTTCGTTTGTTTGTCGAGATTTTTAGCATCGACAGAGCGTCTGTACTCATCTCTGGTGACTTTGCCATCTCTGTCTACGTCCTTTTCCTGGGGGAGTTCACAAATCTTAGTCTTATAACAACGTGTTATATGTTAGTACATTTATGGGGAATGAAATTCCAGTGCTATCAAAGATAAGTAATATTGAAGTGCGTTAATATAGAATTAAAAGAATTCTTTTTCATTATTCAAAATAAACACAATGTTTCTTGTGAAACATGAAATAAAGATTATTCAAAAATTTAATTTGTTACTGCTACTCACATGTATTTTATTAATAATTTCTTGTCTTGAAACATACCCATCCATATTTGTATCGGTTTTTAAAAATGAGTGCAAAATGAGAATTTTGACTTTCATTCCATGGCTCACTCTCGGATTTTGATGCATCACCTTACTAAAGTACCTATTGTATTAAAATGGACATTTATTCAACATGTATTTTGTCTATTACTGGCATTTCAAGTATGCATTTCAAATATTCAACCCTGTTATTAAAATCAATTTGACACTTATAAATTAGGTGAAATACCCTTCAACTCTACACTTAGATTAACTGACCTGTTCTACCCATCAACTCTACGCTTAAATTAACTGACAAGTTATATACCCTTCAACTTAACACTTAGATTAACTAACCTGTTCTACCCTTCAACTTAACACTTAAATTAACTGACCTGTTCTACCCATCTACTGTACGCTTAAATTAACTGACCTGTTCTACCCTTCAACTTAACACTTAAATTAACTGACCTGTTCTACCCATCAACTTAACACTTAAATTAACTGACCAGTTATATACCCTTCAACTTAACACTTAGATTAACTGACCTGTTCTACCCTTCAACTTAACACTTAGATTAACTGACAAGTTATATACCCTTCAACTTAACACTTAGATTAACTGACCTGTTATACCCTTCAACTTAACACTTAGATTAACTGACCTGTTATACCCTTCAACTTAACACTTAGATTAACTGACCTGTTCTACCCTTCAACTTAACACTTAGATTAACTGACCTGTTATACCCTTCAACTTAACACTTAAATTAACTGACCTGTTATATACCCTTCAACTTAACACTTAGATTAACTGACCTGATCTACCCTTCAACTTAACACTTAGATTAACTGACCTGTTATACCCTTCAACTTAACACTTAGATTAACTGACCTGTTATACCCTTCAACTTAACACTTAGATTAACTGACCTGTTATACCCTTCAACTTAACACTTAGATTAACTGACCTGTTCTACCCTTCAACTTAACACTTAGATTAACTGACCTGTTATACCCTTCAACTTAACACTTAAATTAACTGACCTGTTATATACCCTTCAACTTAACACTTAGATTAACTGACCTGTTATACCCTTCAACTCTACACTTAGATTAACTGACCTGTTATACCCTTCAACTTAACACTTAGATTAACTGACCTGTTATACCCTTCAACTTAACACTTAGATTAACTGACCTGTTATACCCTACAACTTAACACTTAGATTAACTGACCTGTTATACTCATCCTCAGTGACCTGGTTATCTTTATCCCTGTCCGTTTCATCAAAGATGGCGTCAACGTCTTGTTCGTCCAGAAATCCATTCTTATCTCGGTCAATATTGTCGAAATATGTCTTGACAATCCTCCTTGAGGAAGGATCAAAGTGTTTACCATCCACCCAACGTTCATATTCGTCCTTGCTCACTTGTCCGTTCATGTCCTGGTCTTTTTCCTTTGACGAAACATATTAGAAGGCTATGTTATAAATCTATGCTTTCGTATACCGAGGTCACAGAAAAAGGTAAACTTTACTTCATTTGCTCCGTGGACCGTCCGGTTCAAAATGGGAGCTTCTTCTATATTTTATGTTATAAAAATTGATGAGAACGAATAATTTCGACGGGTTATGTTACAAAACTCTCCATACTTTTGTCGATGGTAATTACATTTTCTCTAAACAATTAGTTTTAAATCTGAATGCAACCGTATCTAAACAGACCGTTTATCCTAAATAAACCTATAAGAATGATATATAAACATTGATACGTATAATTTAATAAGGATTTATTGTATATTTATAAGTAATTTTATTATGGTGCAAGAAATAGTGAGTATTGTTATATTTTTAAGATTGTTGAGTCAAGTGTTTTTACAAAACAATTCCTTACTTGCAGTTTTTCTAACATCTCTGGCTTAGTCACGACACCGTCACCATTGCTGTCTGTTTTTCTGAAGGACTGGTTGGTCAGAATTTTAACGTTCATACCAAAGAGTACAGTTGGCACACGGCTAAGCTGTTTAGCTATATATCTGGGGAAAACAAAAGTCGTATTCAAAAGTGAGGTAAATGTGATGGTGTAGATTAAACGTAGATTGCAGGTTAGGTTTGACGACACATGCGACGAGACTAAACGGGTCATGGCAGGAGCGAAAGGGGGATGTTGTAGCTGAGTCATTGTTAATGCTAGCGGGTTATTCCCCCTCTCACCTGAATCGGGACTGACCGTGACCGAATAGGAGACAGTACCGGTCACCTGGCCGCGACCGGCGTTCTACCCCAACTGACCGGGTATGTAAATGGGGGGAAAACCCCGCTATTGTACGGGAGGGGTTAAGTCGGGGACATGGACGCGAACCTGGATGATTAGGAGAGGACAAAGAAGTAGAACAGTGAGGGTTGGGGACAGTCGAGGGTTGAGACTTGGTAGAGAAAGGACGTAGATAAGGGTAGAGCTAGGAAACAGTGTAGTGAGAATCGTGTAGAGAACATTAACCTGTAGGGTAGGCAACAAGTGTATATTGTGTAGTGACGTAAATCCTATTATATGCAAGCATTAGATGTATAATAATAAATGTTGTGTATCAAGCGGATCTTCGAGTTTTATTGAGTGCACGGAAATAAGTACGAACTCGTCCTCATCACAATAGCAAACTACATGTGTGGAAACTAATAGAATAATAAGAAGCGAGTAAGTTCCCCACACCACAGTAAACCTAACATATTAGCCAGTTTGTTGGCGTTACACAGCTCTATAAATATTTTAAAACTGTTTTCATTAGCTATTAATAGTCAAAATTGTGAGTTTAGTAAACAATTTTTTTTAAAAATAATTTGAGATTAAGGAGATTTACAAAGCCGTGTAATTATTTTAAACTTGTAATATTACAAATCGCTAAGCTGCTAACCCAAAAGGCCCGAGTTCGAATCCGGGTCCAAGTCAATGGAATGTCCAAGAGTGCACCAAGCTCGGATAGATACCTAACTCATGTCATAGAAAGTAAAGGCGGCTGGGCAAAGAGACGACTACACCTTCCCTCATAGGCCGAGGCCAAGAAACATGTGACCTCTACTTCATCTGCCCAACGGATCGCTAGGTCCAAAGAGACTTCTTTACTTTAAAAATGCCAGTTTTTATTGAACTAATTTTGAATCTGGAGAAGTCAGAGTTCTATTATTAAACCACTTGTTTTATAAATGTCAATTTTAAACGCAATAATGTCTACCACAATTTAAAACTAAGAAGTAAGTTTAAGTGATGATGTGCTTTACAGAATATGTGATGTGTGTTTTATTAAAATATATTGGTTATTCATAATTAGTTACAGTTCAAACCTCCTCCGTAATGAAACTGACCTTTTGTACTCGTGATCTGAGATCTGGTCATCTTTGTCAAGGTCCGCCTCATCGAAGAGCTCGTCAACATCTTGACCGTCCAGAATTCCATTTTTATCCTTATCCAGTCCATCGAAGTAGTTTTTTACCATCATTTTGGTCTGGGGGTCGACGTTTTCCACATTGACCAAACTTTCAAACTTTTCTTTGGTGATTTGCTTGTCCGTATCCTCGTCGTTCCCCTTAACAAAAAAGTTGGGTTTAAATTTTATTGTGTCCTACGATGCTTGTTACGATTCGCTTACTGTCAAAATTTAAAATAATATTTCTAATTCACTAATGGGAATAGGCTCTATGCATTTTCCACATTGACCAAACTTTCAAACTTTTCTTTGGTGATTTGCTTGTCCGTATCCTCGTCGTTCCCCTTAACAAAAAAGTTGGGGTTAAATTTTATTGTGTCCTACGATGCTTGTTACGATTCGCTTACTCTCACAATTTAAAATAATATTTATAATTCACTAATGGGATTTTGCTCTATGCATTTTCAACACAAAACGCCAAATACTTTAAAGCTTAGATAATATTGATCTTCATTATCGTAAATATTTTAAAAATTCAGTCAGCTTAAGCCACGTTTCCTTGCACGAAAAAGTATGACATAAAACCACTTACAAACAATTTGTCTTTTATTTCTGTCTTTGATACCAGACCATCGCCGTTAGTGTCCATCTTCTTAAAGGATTCGGTGGTCAGCATTTTGATTTTGATCCCAAGGGTCAAGATTGGCACTTTATGCATCTGTAGTTTTGTGTATCTGAAGAATAAAATTAAAAGATAATTAATTGATAATTACTAAGTTGGATAGTCATTGAATAATTCCTAAGATTTTGTTTATATGAAGAATGGAGTAATTTAGTTCAAATTTCATGTCAATGGATAATTAACAAGTTTAGTATAAAACGTAAAATGTTTATTAAAAAATTATTTGATACAAAACGACTTGCTGAACGAAACAAATTACAAGGGGTTATAAGTACCTGTTATACGTGACTAACAAAGAAGAAAGTCAAGTCAAAGTATTCCTTTGAGGAAAACAACTAGTTTGACATCTTTATTGAGATGATCTCAACTGGCTATTTTATATTAACTTATGCTAAATGAAATAAAACTGGCATTTGTTCTTAAACCAGCAGAAACATATCTCTGACCTCTTATACTCGTCTTGAGAGATTCGACCATCCCCATCCACATCCATCTCATCAAAAAACTTTTCAGGGTCACTGCTGTCCAGCACACCATTCTTGTCTTTGTCCATTTTCTCGAAAAGTTTCTTCAGCAGCTGTTTGGTGTTTAGGTCGTAGGGCTTTGAATCCACCTGACTCTCGTATTCAGGTTTAGTCAACGGTCTGGACGTGGTTTCGTATTTCGACTGAAACAAAATGACAATATGTTCTGTGCTGAACACTTGTTTACATATCAGTTATACAAATATTACAGTAACATTAATTCTAATCCTCGTTTCATAATGTGTTTTGGTCTATGTTTTTTTAAATGTGTAACTGCTGTGAGAACAATAACTTTAATAATCGGATCTGAAACGCTTACAATATTTTTCCGTTAGATCTTAATAAGCATTTAATAATCCCTTTTAATGGGATAGAGCTCAGGACTGCTAACATTAAAGTCTTGAGTTCGGAACCTGGGCTTAAATCTATAGCAAGTCGATGCGCCATACAAGCTGTGATAGTTGAGTCAAGCCAGTACTTCATATGACAAACCACAATTGGTATCTGAAACAAACACTACCGCCACGTCCCAAAAGTTTAACTATTCATCGTTTTAATATGTTCAATACATTCCCGTCTTAAAGCACAAAGTTCGTTTAATAACCCTGGTATATGTTCAGTACAAATCCACTTTTACCTTCCATTGGTCTGTCATCTCGGACTTGGAAATGAATCCATCGCTGTCAGTATCCATCTTCACAAATGACAGAGTTGTGATTGTATCCACATTCCATCCCACATCCATCAAGGGCAGAAAGAAAATAAGTGCTAATGTAGGCAGCATTGTATTACAGACTCTGAAATATATAAGGGCATTAGGAGTTTGTAGTGTCTAAATTCTAGGTACTTAATCTTTAAAGCGTTTCGCTTGTATTTAAATAAAAATGGTCACTAAACTATTATAATTTTTAAAAAATATCCTACCAACAATGAAGGAAGGTGACACTTAATAATTTAAATATTGAATACAAAATGCACCCACCTTAATTTGTCATTAACAGACAATGGTTAGCAGTAGCAATACATTAAATCTACTGGACAAACAGCTTTTTATTCATTCCAAAATGTGGACCAAGTAAGTAAGGGAAGGAAATAATGACCTTGAGAGATGATGTACTTTACAATATTTTCGTCTAGAGTTTTCTAAAATCAGCTGATGCTGTTAAAACTGTTGACAGCAGAAACTTATGTATAAAAAATGTTTTTAAGTACTGATAAAATGCTGATCTATCGAGTCTTATCCAGCAATAATTTTTTTTTTTGCAAAATTCAAGGCCAAATTCAATGACAGAAACAAATTAAGAAGCAGGCCTAAAAGGTTTTGCTTAAACGCAGTAGAAATAGACAACACCGTGTTTCATTAGTTTGTAAAAGAGTTTATTTTACAAAAAAACATTTCCTTGTGAAAGAATTTTCCGCATATTTCTGAGATAAACGAAATACGTTTCAGATCTTAGCCATTAACTATCCATGTAAACTTTACTGACAATACCTTTTTTTCTGGAAGATTTTTTGGTTTAGAAAAAGCGTTTAAAGTTAGATTTCACTTTCAAATTTTTTTATTATAAATACTGGCCAAAACAAAAGTTTAACTTTCTAATTTTAACAACATTTTGTTCTTAAGACGCTCATTTTAAGAACATTTTGTTTTGAAAACACTAATTTTAGGAACATTTTGTTTTGAAAACACTAATTTTAAGAACATTTTGATTTGAAGATACTAAATTTAAGAACATTTTCTTCTGAAGACACTAATTTTAAGAACATTTTGTTTTGAAAACACTAATTTTAAGAACAGTTTGTTTTGAAAACACTAATTTTAAGAACATTTCTTTTTGAAGACATATCGACAATTAAAAGCTAACAATCTTGTAAGAATAAATTAGGCATTCTAAAGAAGTAAAACATTATTTTAATACAAATATGGACTGTTTTATGTGACTTGTTTATAACTGTAATTAGACTAGTTAATATTCGCCACGTTGATTAGTGAACGCGTATTTTAAAACTGCAATGCGTTGTTAGAACCCGCTGGATAATTAAACTACATGCTCGTATAGACTAAGCTAAATTTAAAATGTTATCTATACTTTGTTTGGGTCTGGCACTTGATTCTTATCTTGTTTTGCCAGATATTGTTAGAAAAAGAGATGGTACTTGGAAATTAAAAACGCAGTAGTTTTGTTCAACTGTATTTGTTTTCATTAGAAAAAGTAAGCTCATCAACTTGTTTTGATGCTGCTACCACAAAATGGAAACCAATACAATTAGATACAGGTTTTTGTTTTCATTTTTTTTTTTACTTGGGTTTGATTAAAGATTTAGCTTTAGGTTACGTTTTGGCTATTTTTAGACATTGGTTTCAGGGTTAGGGTAAGGTTTTCGTCGGGTGTATGTGGTGTTTAGGTGTAATGATAATTTCAGGTATGGGTTTTGGGTAAAGATAATTGTGCAGGTAAGGTTAGGGTTTTAGTCTCGGGGTTTATGTTTAGGTTTTGGGTACATTCAGCTAGTGTAAAGATTAGCTCAAGACGGCGCGCTTTGTGCTCCTACATTATACCACTTACTCACAAAGTCAAGTGAAATTACCAATCCAGGCTGGTGGATCATTTGGGGTAGGTGAATTAGAGTTAATCTGTTTCTGTGATCTCGACGTCTTAGGGGATAGTGTGTTCAGAACTATGCCACAACCACCTTTACTTTCACTAACGTGAGTCAGGTACCCATTAGAGCTGTTTGAACACAGTAGCGCTCTTCAAACCGACCAAGCAAGCCTATGAAGTCACTCTGCTATTATATATTAAACAAGCAAGAGTTCGATCTCTGCACTTTAAATTAGAATCTTGTGTAGCAGACCACACTACAGTGTCACATTAGTATAAATAAACTGCGCTTCTTTTGGAATCTCCTATCATTATTTATTTTATCATTTAACTCTAAAAAGTCAGAATATAACGGAGTGAACATCCAATTTATATAGTTAATCATTCCTACTTGCTAACTACATAACTAGACGCCTGATTTTTGTAGGCAGATATCAGAGAAAGTATTTCGCTAGTAAATTAATCATTCCTAGAATAATACGTAGCCAATCTTTACATCTACTTAAGCAGCTTTTTTTTAACACTGGAATGTTTTTTTTCTCTCTCCATATTTTGCCTGTGACATGTTGTCTACAGCGTCGGTTTACCTTGCAGTTTTCCATGTAGTATTACAGTTTTCATCATTGGCTTGTGAGTAACAGATTTACAATAGTAATACTACTTTCTGACAAGTTTTTTTCATTTATCTGCGATGTTTTAGATATACATTATACAAAACGTCTAATTACAATTTTATTTTTAAACCTAAAAATACAAATGTGTAATTAAAGGGTAAATCAACGATCTGTTAAAAAAAAACATACAAAATAGAAAGGTATATTTTTGGTGTGGTGGGTGGAGGAGGTATGGGTTTACAATTGGAGCAGAAATAAAGAAAAAATATTATAATGTTATCAGCAGCCTGGGTGTTATGTTGAGACACATCAAATCAAACATTCTTCCGTTTCAAACAGCTATATCTATAGCAGCCATCCCAGAGTTTGTTTTTTTTTTCAAATTTATTTTAAACATTAAAAAAAATAATAATTTATTTTGGAGTTTTATGTTGTTTAAAATGCATGATCATAAATTTTATATATATTATTTAAAGAAAGTAAAATGGCAAAAGAACTAAAATAAAACAGGGGATGCAACTCTGTTTCTTTTGACTGTCTAGTCCACTGTTGCCCATCCTCAGCAAAGTGACATTGTGGCTACCCATGGGCAGAAACAAAAACGACCGTGGGAGAAGAGTGTCTATAATACTGATCTATCATTCCTAAATTTTCCTTGAACCAAAATTGACCCCTAGCAATGTGCGTAAACTAGCTTTGATTTATTCGCCAGTCTGGGTAAGGGAGGAAGAGGTGTGTATCTCTACCTAACATTCAGATTGTGCCCCTTTGAAACCCAACAGACACAAGGACTGTTCTCACATTCATTTACTTGAGGGCTCATTAAGTAAAGTTTTGCTTTAGAATGTCTAAAAACATGTATATATATATATATATATATATATATATATATATATATATATATCAACAATGATAACAACACGATGACTATGTAATTATCCGGCATTTTACTGAGCCATCAAGTGTTGTATTCTGTTGTGTGTGACTAAAAAAAGTGAAACTCTACGAATACTCTATCTCATTGTAAGGCTGATTTTTTTCTTTCAAAAGCGATCGTGATGAACACATTATAGAAACACAAATTTTAATTGCAGTATTTGTTTTATTTCAAAAATAAAAAAGTACAAAAATTGATTACACATTTTACTTTCTCTGTTGTGGCCATTGGTTTGCAATAAACATGAGATATCTGCATAGAAAAAATAAATTGTATTAATGTTTAATATTTTAGCTTCAACACATAGCTCAGTTTATTTGTCTCATTTGTCGTTGCTTAAAAAAAACGCACCAACCTCAAGTATTCAATATCTGTGATGTAACCATCCCTGTCACCGTCCACCTCATCAAAGATGACATTGACATCTTTCCTGTCCAGGATACCGTTGCTATCTTTATCTAAGTTATCGAAGTTATTTATCTGAAGTCTTCTAGCCTGTGGGCTTGGGTTACCGGCATCCACCCATCTGGTGTACTCTCCTCTAGACACTTGATTGTCCCTGTCAGCATCCATCTCCTGCACAATTAGATGTTATTTATATAGCCAGGGCAGGGGCGTAGCGAGCAGGGGGGGGGGGGGGGTGGCGTGGGGTGCGGACAGCACCGGGTGACACCATTTAGGGGGGTGACACCAAGGCAAAAAATAGCAAAATATATAGAGAAAAACTTGAGGGGGGGGGTGCAAATCGAAAGTTTGAGGGGGGGTGCAAACCGAAAACTTGAGGGGGGGGGGGGTGCACATCGAAAGTTTGAGGGGGGGTGCAAATCGAAAACTTGAAAGTTTGTCCCCGGGAAGGGTCGCAACGCCTCTGGGGGGGGGGGGGGTGACACCATTAAGTACCGAACCGGGTCACACCCGACCTCGCTACGCCACTGAGCCAGGGTCAAATCCATATTTATGACACGTACTTAAGAGAAACGACTTGAATGTGTTTAACAATACACTCCGTGGGCTTTGATGCTGGGTGAAATTTTTTTTTTGACTTCATGTACAAACGGTAATGAGCTCCTAAATCAAGGCCACGTCCTACTCACAAACAATTGATCCTCCATCTCCGCCCTAGAAACTCGTCTGTCATCATTAGCATCCAGCTTCCTCTGTTGATGTGGCTCACTGTTCTCATGATGCCTCTCCCAGTTTCTCCTTGGGACGCGACTCAGTTGTTTAGCTACAGCTCTGTCAAAATACAACCAAATTAATGAAATAAATTACAGGAAAGAAGAAATCTCAGATAAAACTAAACGATAACATCCTAAAGTCTGTCTAAATGTGTTCCTGTCATACCAGTGACAACTGACCTTTTATACTCGTCCTCTGATACCCGGCCATCACTGTCAGTGTCAGCTTCATCAAACAGGACCTCGGTATCCCGTCTGTCTAGGACTCCATTGCTGTCTTTGTCGAAGTGCTCGAAAATATTCTGTAGAATTCTCCTGGTTTGTGGGTCGCTGACCTCGTCACGAACGTGACCTAGATACTCTTCCCTGGTCACGGATCCATCCTGGTTGATATCTTTTTCCTGGGTAATTAAAATGTGTGGTACTCACTAAAACAATTTTAATTGTCTCTTATAAGAATGTATACGAAGATTATAATTTCTAAATTTTCTAGAGCATCAAGATGCTCTACGGTATAATAAAAAAGAGTGTGAGAGAGCGTGGGTGTATAGGTTGGAATCCTTGCATTATAATCACACTCTTGGGTTTGCCGGCATAGTTTAAAGAATGCTTAAGCTTTTGTTTGAAATCAAATCAGTACGAGAAACATACGAGTTAAAACCAAAGTTGGTCATCCAACTGCAAATATTATTTAGAACAAAAGCAGCAAGGCAATAGCTATTTAATTATTATTTTTTTTTACTTTTTTTCTCCAAGATGGCGTTTTTAAGCTCAAAGCCTTATATGCCCGCGTTGCCGAACTCGGGATTTTCGCATTAGCAATCGTGCGCTCTGTCGCCTAACCACGCCGTCCACAATACACATTATAATGTACGTGGAATAAATAAGTGACCAAACATCACCACCAAATCAGAATAACGATATTCATATGCAACTGTTTATGAAGCTCGCACAAATACATAGAGATATATTCAAACATAAAGAAAAATAGCGATACTAACATTCAACTAACCATGAAACGTAACGGAACAGCCATACATACAACTTGCCATGAAACGTAGCGAAACTTAACAATACTCACATTCAACTTATCATGAAATGTAACGAAACTTAACAATACTCACGTTCAACTTGCAATGAAACGTAACGAAACTTAACAATACTCACATTCAACTTATCATGAAATGTACGTAACAATACTCACATTCAACTTATCATGAAATGTAACGAAACTTAACAATACTCACATTCAACTTATCATGAAATGTAAAAAAACGTAACAATACTCACATTCAACTTATCATGAAATGTAAAGAAACTTAACAATACTCACATTCAACTTATCATGAAATGTAACGAAACTTAACAATACTCACGTTCAACTTACAATGAAACGTAACGAAACTTAACAATACTCACATTCAACTTATGAAATGTAACGAAACTTAACAATACTCACGTTCAACTTACAATGAAACGTAACGAAACGTAACAATACTCACATTCAACTTATCATGAAATGTAACGAAACTTAACAATACTCACATTCAACTTATCATGAAATGTAACGAAACTTAACAATACTCACATTCAACTTATCATGAAATGTAAAGAAACTTAACAATACTCACATTCAACTTCTCCTCCATCTCTGAACGTGAAAGTGACATGTCCCCATTGCGGTCAATCCGCCTGAATGATTGAGACGCAGCATGCTCCAGCAAGGTCAAGGCCACAATACCATTTAGCTGTCTGGCTATATGCCTGTTGTTTAAACACAAAATAATACATTTCTAGTTTATCACTAAATGCTGGAACTCATGTAAAGTGTCTTAATTAGAAGAACAAATTAAAGAACAAAGTTTTGAACCAACCTGTCGTACCATCCTGTGATAGCCCAAACCAAATTAGAGAACAAAGTTTTGAACCAACCTGTCGTACTCGTCTTGTGAGAGACGGTCATCTCTGTCCGTGTCCGCCTCATCAAAGTTTGCTTCAGCGTCTCTTCTGTCCAGAACACCATTTCTATCTTTATCCATGTGCTCAAAAAGCTGCTTCAATATTCTTCTGGTCTGGGGGTCGGGCTGTTGCTCATCCACCCTACGGTTATATTCTTCTCTGTTCAATTGTTCGTCTCTGTTGCTGATTGGCTCCTTGAGGAGGCATTTAAAAACCAAGACCATGTAATGATATAATGTAATATAATTCTACTATTGGTTTAACTTAGGGGTCATCCATAAATGACGTCACGCTTTTTTGACGATTTTTACCTCCCCCCCCTCCCCTCCGTCACACGTCGTCACAAAAAGCCAGACCCCCCCCTAAAATGACGTCACACCTCAACCCTCAACCCCCCTAAAATTGCAGTTGAATTTTTTTAAAACATCGATATTTTTCTAAAATCTTGTCTAAACTATTACAATTTATTAAAACAGTAATATCGCGAAATAACGTCTAAAATTCGATTTCTAACATTGCTTTTTTATAATGCAAAAGTGTGTGTGAAGTCGCAACATCTGAACCCCCCCCCCCCCTTGCCCCTCATCACACATCGTCAAAAAATTACGGACCCCCCCCTCCCCCCCTACGAGTGTGACGTCATTTATGGATGACCCCTTAGTAGAAGTACTCTCTCAAAAAAATAATACAACGTCAGTGTCTATTCGGGCATGTGTCCCATTCGGGCTAGTGTCCATTAGAGAAAGCGGCTTTCGAGCAAAATACATTCCCGTAAGTGTCCTTCGGAAAACTCTCCCCCCCCCCCCACTCCTTAAAAGGTAGTTTAATATTGTTCAATAAATGTGCCAATGCTAGTATTAGATAATCTTAGTAGACGCACCCTCTCATACAATACTCGATAAAATAAATAGATTGACACACTATTGAGCATAGAGAAAAAATAATGGAATAAAACAAGAAACTTTTGATCACATCAAACTTACAATCCACTCATTCTTGATCTCAGATCTTGTGAGTCGACCATCGTTGTTTCTATCAATCTTCCTGAAGGATCTCGAGATTAAAGATTTTAAGTACACGCCCAGGTTTGAAATCGATCTAGAAATCAAAATATTTTAAGTCATAGAAACTAAACCATATATTTGTATTACATTGTGTAGATTTTGTTTAGGAATAAAAGTTAAAGAAAGTAACAAAAAAAGATTTTATGTTACTTGTCGTATTCGTCATGATTGATCCGGTCATCTCTATCTGAGTCAGCTTCATCAAAGATGGCGTCAATGTCCTGGCTGTTTAAAACACCGTTTTGATCTCTGTCCAGATGTCCGAACAGTTTCCTTAAGTCACTTCTCTCCGATGGATCTCTGTTCTCAGCGTTAACCCTCCGCTCATATTCGTCTAGTGTCACCTGCCAATTTCCGTCTACGTCGTTTTCCTGTGATATAATTATTGCAATCATACATGACTTATTTGAAATGGCGTTGTCTCTTAATATTTTCTTTTGCTTTTAGTAAAACACATTTATAACATATCTACGTTTCAATATGTAAGGATAATAATAATAACAACAACAACAACAACAACAAAAATAATAATAATAATAATAATAATAATAATAATAATAATAATAATAATAATAATAACAAAAACAACAACAATAATAATTATAATAATTTTGTTATTATTATTATTAATATTATTAATATTATTATTATTATTTTTGTTATTATCATTTAAATAATTTCAGTAACAAAAATAATAATTGATTGCTACAATGTTACATAAAATACATTTCATCACAGTGAGTAGTTTAGTTTTGAAGATGTACTTGATGTTTTTATATGGATCCCATTTGTAAAGATTAAAACTTTGGAAGTACCAAGCTTATATAAGAATTTGATACTTTCTGTTGTCTTTTACATGTCTTTTCTTATATTTAGTTACATAACATTGTGCATTCAAATTTAGCAAGTAATGTCTGTTTCTGTTTCTTGTTGATGATATACATCTACGTTATACTAAAGTCTAATTACTTTCTGTATTAAATTATAAACTGTAATTTTTACATTCTTGTAAACTCCTAATAGTCCAAAATATTTACCAGCAACTGGTCCTGTATCTCTGATCTAGAAATGTGTCCGTCGCCGTTAGCATCCAACATCCTGAAGGACTGGGACCTACCAGGGTTAATATTCCTGCCCCAGGCCAATCCAAAGATACAGAGAATAAGTGCGTGTCGAAACATCTTTTTTTTCCCCGTAGAATCTGAAGTAAAGGTTAAGAATTTTGTTGCTTAATCGAACATCTTAATTTAACGTTTTTATATGAACGGTTTGAAATCTTGTACCCAAAGCGACCACAAAAAAAGTTTAAATTGTCATACATCACGAACTAAGATACAACAATGAAATAAAATTAGATGTAAACAAATTTTAAAATATTTAAAGCTTACATATCTGCTTGTTGTTGAAGTAATGATTGTATTTGTCAACGATCAGGTTTTTATATGTTCTACAAAGTCCACCATGTACTTAGTGCACAAAGGCACATCGTGATCACAGCATGGACTGTTGTTTTTGTGTGTGGCAAGTTGTTGTTGTTGTTGTTATTTATATAATATTTCCTATCTAGTAAATTTGCTGAGACATGCAAACCTCATTAGAAATATTAAACGAATAAGGAGATAACGCATATTTTTCTCTTGATGTTTTAGTTAAAAACAAAAACTTTTTAAATTGATAAGCATCGGCTTAAAATAGTGTAGATATATTCTAAAATACGTCTTTGTTTGAATAAAATGTGCTGATTTTCTCAAGTTTGTGTTATAAGCGTGCACATTTCGCCTTTATTTATCTCTCCAGCTTGACTACGGTATTCATATTGGGTCAACTAACCTGGCTCAGATTAGGTCAACCGTCTTTAGAGTAAAAATGTACTTTAAAAGCAAACATCGACTCTTCCCATACTACCAAGTGGGACAACATTAAAAGTTTAAACCAATCACTGAAAACAACGGCTGGTGTTTTCCGCCAAGTCCGCCATCATGTCAGTGGCGGAACTAGAAAAAAAGGGCCACCCCGCAAAAAAGATTATTAGCCCCCCCCCCATATATAAATAAATAAATAAATAAATAAATAAATAAATAAATATATATATATATATATATATATATATATATATATATATATATATATATATATATATATATATATATATAGGGTTAATAAATTGTAATAGTTTAGACAAGATTTTAGAAAAATATCGATGTTTTAAAAAAATTCAACTACAATTTTGTGGGGGGGGGGGGGGGGGGTTGTAGGATGAGGTGTGACGTCATTTTGGGGGGGGGGGGGGTCTGGCTTTTTGTGACGACTTGTGACGGAGGGGAGAAGGAGGTAAAAATCGTCAAAAAAGCGTGACCTCATTTATGGATGACCCCTGGAAGCCCACTTAACACCTTGTCGGTCAAAATAATATAAAACATGAATACTTTGTATAAGTAATGGTATCTCGTGTTATGTTTATTTTTTTATTTTTTTTTATTTATATTATTAATTTTTTAAATATTATTGATTTAATACTTTTCCTTTTTATAAAATGTCATTCTTTAGTAATTACTTATTAAAAAAATAATAATTAAGAGAAGTAATTGCTTTTTAATTTGTTTAATACAAATCTATTAAAAGGAGCTTATGATCACTCCCATTGACTATTTCAAAAAGAAGGGAAATAAGTAATGGAAGTGGTTTGAACATTTGCTTATCTTTGATAAGTTTAATTGTATGAGAAAGACTCGGCTTTCACTGTACTTTAAAAACAAAGGGAAAAAGAATATACAAGAGCGTGGGGTGGTGTCTATAGAATAAAGATAATCCTACCGCAGATACGGTAATTTTTTACAAAACAACCATCAAGTCAAAAATGAAAGAAAATTTACTTTTTTTTTTAACTATACATTTTTTTATTATGGTCGGCTCTGGGCCCCTAAATGGCGTGCCCCCCCCCCCCCCACATTGCGGGGTCTGGCGGCACTATAGTTCCGCCCCTGCATCATGTTTAGCCAAAGATAAACTTTACAATACAAAATGTATACAGTCAAGTGGGGCTGGAGGTAGGTTTAGAGTTCGGTGTGGTGAAGTTAGGTGCCAGCACTAGTTGAGGTCTTCGTTGATACCCATGATACGCTCGCCCATCTCACACATACAACCTTTGTACTAACATCACCAATTGCACGTGATGTAGAGAGGTCAACAACTAATTTCACATAATTTCAATTTACATGCAATTCTGACTTCAGTATATTTGTCTCACGTAACTATTTTTAAGCGATAGCCAAGTCCAAAATTATGTTTGTCTTTTTCGTTTACTCTTCAATCATCTGCTGTGTGCTGAAAAAGAACTTTGGATCGAAGAATTCATTGTGAAAGTAATTGTATTTATTGATGAGGATACTAAAGTACCTGATTTATTTGCATAAACCTCACTGCAGCTACCACTTTTTTATTTACTATACCTGCCCTGTTCACCTGCTAGTCTGAGAGTACTTTGTCTTCACTAGCTTCTAAATTAAAGGTAACAGAAGAGACACATGTTATTTAGACTTGCAAAATATTTGATTGCTTAAATAGTTAATCGCAGAACTAGGGCAGACAGATAAATCATGGTATTAAATTTACAGTGTGAGTGAAATAAAATTATATTAGTCTTGAGGTTTTGGTATCTTACCGTGTGATTGTCAAACTATTGTTCCTGATTTACCATTGTGCAGAGACTGAAGTCGAGTAGTATGTTGAGCTAGACTTATGTTTAATATGTTAAGACAGACAAATATCGTATCGGCTGTGTCAGGGAAGTGACATCGTTTGATGTGTCAGTCAGATGTCATGTTTATTGTGTCAGTGATATTAGTTTTTGTCGCCTTTCTCTCTAATCTACGAACCTCACTAACATTGATTAATACTACCATCTGGTATGAACTTTTTCCTGCATCTCTTACAGTATATCATGATACATTTAAACAATACATATTTCGAAATTACCTTAGTTGTTTTATTATTAATTAAGCAACATGAAGCCCTTACAGAATTTTACCATTTCGAAATTATGTATTGATGTTTCAAACAAAGCTTTGATTTACATTCTTGGCAATCAACAAGTAAAGCTCTAAAACTGTTTGCAATAATTCCATGTTTATTAAATTCTTGATTACATTTAGTTTAAAAGTATCTAATTACATAAATAATAAAAATATACATTGAACTATTTGCCCTCACCACTTTATTTGACCTTCTATAAACTGCCAATTAATTCTACCCAGTCAGTAACATCATAACTGACACATACAAATGAAACTGTTATTTCATGATCTTTAAAAATTTTGATTTAGGTAATAAAAAAACATAGTCAACATTATGTCTTTACATACAACATGTATATTTATCTGTGAGAGGTTTCAACAATGCGGCAACTATTTTATATGCTTTTAGCATAAAGTACGTGTTTTTAATCACCAATGCTGTAATGTTTCAGTAAAAAATGGGCCATTTTTTATTGATGCATGGGAAGTTATAGCTGTATTGAAAACAAATGAAAAAGTACATTTATACGGTGCTAATGACATAATGTACCACGAATCGCAAAAACAATACAAAAATGTACGTTTTGTATTTGATTTTCATATAGAAAAACTAGCATGCCCGTCCCCGCGCGTTGCAGCGGTCTCAGAAGAAAGGCTGGTAAAATATTTTAAATCGTTGCTTTACCAGTCATAATTATACTTTTAGACGTGTGCCCTAGTTTTCTGAAGCGGAATTATTTAAATGTCTAGAGTCATATTTGTTGGACCGTGATTCTAACCACACTACAGCTCAGCACGCCAGAGGGTGTTTAGTAGTTCAGCCTTGGGTGTACGTTAATCACTCTCGTAATAGTTTGGCAGAACGCACTTCCGCAACCGCCCAGGTGTCAGGAACGGAGAGGTGTGCTCTCAGGAGCCCCAGGTTTTACTACCTCAGGGGCGCCGCGTTTTACTGCTGCCTATAGTAGTACCCCTTACCCGCTATTCAGGACGCCCAATTAACGGATATCAAGTGTTAAGATATCCACCCTGGAACTCTGGGTTTCAAAATGGGTTTTGACAAATATCGCACAGTCCCGGACGCCGTCCATAAGAAATTTTAATTTTTATTTCCGCAGAAAATTCTTGGGAGTATGCTCATCAATTTCCCAACGTTTCATGGCAATAGGATGAACGATTTCAAACCTCATTTGACTTTTATTTTTATATTGCGTACTTAGAGAAAATTCGCATCTTCCTGGGGCGCCGCTCTTGCAAAATAAAATAAAAATATTTTTTACACAAACATTCTCTGGAGTATTCACATCATCTCCCAAAAGTTTCATAGCAATCAGATGAACGGTGTCAAAACAGCAATAAACTTTTATGTTTATAACCCGTATATCCAGCATGCTAACATCTGTCTCTCTCATCCTGCCTGCTACTATCTCTATATTTCTCATATTGCCTTAACCATCCCTGTCTATCTTCCAAGCCTAAATAAATATCCAGTCTACGTCCGTACTATCGAGAATGCCATTGTTATCTTTATCTGTGTTATCAAAATTATTCTTCTGAAATCTTCGTTCTTGAGGGTCAGGATATCTGGCATCAACCCATCTTTCATTTTCATATCTGGACACTTGACCGTTCCAGTCGCCATCTTGTTCCTAAAAAATACGTTAAAATATGTCCTAATAATATAACTGTTTCAACTCATCAAAAAAATATAGACTGTTTTTAAACAATCTCTACATAATTCTTTGTTTAACTCACACGAAGTTTCTGTTTTAGCTCTTGTTTCAAGACTTTTCTATCACGATATTCGTCCCAGTTTCTGGAAGATTGTTCTAAATACGCTTGGTGTTTTCTCACAACATTTAAGATATTGATGCGATTCAGTTGTCTGGCAATATATCTGATTTAATGAGATAAGAAAACACGTATAAAAATATGTAACTTTGTTGTTTCTACTTTTTGAATATGTATTGATAATAACTAAATGACTATAAATAACAGTTGTGAAATAAAAGGAAATAGAAATGTGACATTTTGAAGAGATGAATCTCATGGTTGCTAAACCGAAAAGTCACGAGTTCGAACCCTCGCGCAGACGAGGCTCGTTAGCTGGGGACAGCCACTCCTCTAGGAGAGACAACTCCAAAATCAAACAAATGCTGCCTTGTATTTTTTCGGCTGAAATCGGAGTCAATGGCCTCAATGGCACATAACCTGTTGACACGTATCCTTAATTGTGATGGAGGCTTGGTCGAGTCGGCAAAAAAGCTCATGGTTGATAAATTCAAAAATAAAAGTCTCGAGTTCAAAACCTCTGGCAGATAAGGCTCGATCCCCTCTAACACTAAAAATTAAGAACGAAGAAAAAGAAGAGATTAAAAAAAGGTTGTTTTGACTTGATATTTAAGTCGAAAACGATTTCAAGCGTGTAGGCTACACAATTTTTACAAGGACATGTATTTACAAAAAAATAAGCAGAAAAACGCAATCAAGACATAAGTGTGCTAAGGTATTACGCAGCATACAAGCTACACATTACTGTCTGCAATTGAACCAAATTGAACCAAATATTGAAGGGTAAACGTAAAAAGTCTAATTAGTTAACTGCAAAAGAAACACTCGTGAGAATTTATTATTATCTGACCTTCTTTGCTCTTCCTCAGATACACGACCATCTCTGTCAGTGTCAGCCTGATCAAAGATGGCGTCAACATCTCGTCTATCCAGAACACCGTTTCTATCTTTATCCAGGTCATCGAAATGCTCCTTCAGAATTCTTCTGGTCTGTGGGTCACGGCGCTCAATGTCTATGTGATGGTCATATTCCTCTCTGTTCACTTGACCGTCGTAGTCGTAGGCATTGTCTCTATCCTTAATAATTCATATATATATATATATATATATATATATATATATATAGAGAGAGAGAGAGAGAGAGAGAGAGAGAGAGAGAGAGGAGAGAGAGAGACGCTTTTTAATATATCCAAAGTTAAAAGTAGTCTTACAACTTACATTAAAATCTTCCCTTGATTCCGACCTTGAAATGGCCCCGTCACCATTTCTGTCCATGTTTCTGAAGGATCGTGAACTCAAGTTTTCGACTTGAATGCCTAAAGTCAAGGCTGCGATGCGATTAACGTGTCTAGCAACATGCCTGAATATGTAAATCGTATATCCATTGATAAGCATTTGAAAACCCAAACCAATAACAAATTAAATCGTTCATGTTGTGAAATTTTGTTAACTAATTCGCTTTTTTGTTCTATTTGTTAAGTCGTCAATATTCTTTCCATTATTTAAAACGTATTTTTAAAATATCTAATCTTTGAAAAACTTATTTATTAAGATCGCAATGCCTGGATGTTTGTTTTGATTGTTCGTGAATGTGTGTCAAATCTTGTGACGTAGTTTTGACCAACTTCTTATGCCACGATTAGAATTTACTTAAAAGATAAGGAATTAAACAGTAGATAACAAGATTGATGGCTAGGGATTTATGAAGATAATGAAGATCTGTTTATTACACAGCTGGTTGTTTTCCGGCTGGTTGTCAAATACGGACTAAGAAGGGGCAGATAATTATCTTACAGAGAGTGCAGTCTACTCATTAGGTTTTTGCTCAAATATTTTTAGTCGTATGTTGTGTCATGCTCATTTATTGCAAATTAATAACAAAGGAAAACAAAACAAGTAAAAAAAATACTTGTCACGCTAATAAGCGTTGAAATGTACTGAAAAACCAAAATAAAACAAATTTGCTTACTTTAGGAAAATCATTGTCCGCGCTTAATTTCCCTTACATTTTAGGTAATTATTGTACGTTTTAAGATAGCAAATAGTATTATTTTCTTATATTGAATTCATTTAATTCCTTATTTTTGAAACTATTCTGCTTACTCAATTGATAAAATCAGAATTTTACAATATGAACTGTTACTGGAAAATTTTTATAGTACTTTTAGAAGTAATAAGTTGCAATAATGAAAACAATAATAACAAACACGAATGATTTATTCTTAAGGTTATTTAACAACATACTGTACCCGTCCTGTGATAGCCCATACCGAATTTGAGGGGGAAAAAGTTTTGAACCAACCTATCGTACCATCATGTGATAGTCCAAACCAAATTAGAGAACAAAGTTTTGAACCAACCTGTGTCGTACCATCCTGTGATAGCCTAAACCAAATAAGAGAACAAAGTTTTGAACCAACCTGTCGTACTCGTCTTGTGAGAGACGGTCATCTCTGTCCGTGTCCGCCTCATCAAAGTTTGCTTCAGCGTCTCTTCTGTCCAGAACACCATTTCTATCTTTATCCATGTGCTCAAAAAGCTGCTTCAATATTCTTCTGGTCTGGGGGTCGGGCTGTTGCTCATCCACCCTACGGTTATATTCTTCTCTGTTCAGTTGTTCATCTCTGTTGCTGATTGGCTCCTTGATGAGACATTTAAAAACACACGCTTTACAATATCATTTGATAATTTTCCAATAACCTTAGTTTATTATAGATAAACGCAGAACGTGTAATCTATTACTATTCAAAAAATGCTCCCATTCTACTATGCGTTTAAATTAGCAGAAGTACTCTCTCAAACCATACAATAACAGTAGTTGATTTTGACCTCGAAAAACAGATTGTGTGGTGGAAACGTCGACTGCTGTTTATACTTTCTCACTACTTGTGCTAATCCTAGCTGTAATTTTTTACCGACCCGACCAGAAATCTAGTTCTGTCAAAGAGTCAATTGGACTATGAAATGTCTAACAGACGAGCATGAGGTTCGAGCTTCAAACTACAGAATCAAAAATGTAATAAAACCGTGGAAACTTTTGATCACATCAGATAAACTTACAATCCACTGATTCTTGATCTCAGATCTAGTGAGTCGACCATCGTTGTTTCTATCCAACTTCTTGAAAGATCTCGAGATTAAAGATTTTAAGTACACCCTCAGGCTAGATGAACGAGGACGTGAATACTGTCTTGAAATTGATCTAGCAATCCAAAAATTTTAAGTCATAGAAACTAAACCATATATTTGTGTTACATTGTGCAGATTTTGTTTTAAAAAAAAGTAAACGAAAGTAACAAGAAAAGATTTTATGTTACTTGTGGTATTCGTCGTGATTGATCCGGTCATCTCTATCTGAGTCAGCTTCATCAAAGATGGCGTCAATGTCCTGGCTATTTAAAACACCGTTTTGATCTCTGTCCAGTTGTCCGAACAGTTTCCTTAAGTCACTTCTCTCCAATGGATCTCTGTTCTCAGTGTTGACCCTCCGCTCATATTCGTCTATTGTTACCTGCCAATTTCTGTCTACGTCGTTTTCCTGCGATATAATTATTGCAATCATGCATGATTTATTTGAAATGGCGTTTTTATTTTTCTTTCTTTTTGTTTTGTCTTTTGCTTTTAACAAAACAAATTTAAAACACATTTACATTTGAACAAGTGATAATAATAATAATAATAATAATAATAATAATAATAATAATAATAATAATAATAATAATAATAATATAATAATAATAATAATAATAATATAATAATAATAATAATAATAATAATAATAATAATAATAATAATAATAATAATAATAATAATAATAATAATAATAATAATAATAATAATAATAATATTGTTATTATTATTATTATTATTATTATCATTATTACTACTACTATTATTATTATTATTATTTTTATTATTTTTGTTTTTATTTTTATTATTAGTTGTTGCTACAGTGTAACATAAGTTACATTCTAAAATTGTGCGCTGTTTAATTTTGAAGATATTCTTTGATGACTTTATATGGATTACATTTAGTAAAGACTGTGGTTCTGGGCGCACCAAACTTGTAAATTTATTTAATAATATGACACTTTAATTTGTATTGTTCATGTTTCTTAATTGCATGTACATGATATTGCACATTCAAATTCAGCAGCTTATTTTAGCTTGTTGTTGTTGATGTAAATGTACATAATAATAAAGCCTAATTACTCTCTTAATTCAATCATAAACTGTTATTGTGATGATTTTTATATTCTTATAAACTCTCAACAGTACGAAATATTTACCAACAGGAGGTTCTGTATCTCTGATCTAGAAATGTGTCCGTCGCCGTTAACATCCAACATCCTGAAGGACTGGGACCTACCAGGTTTAATATTTCTTCTCCAGGTCCATCCCAAGAAAAAGAGAATAAGTACGTGTCGAAACATATTTTTTGGTATAGAATCTGAAGTGAAGGATACCAATATAAGCTAAGTCGAATATTTTAAATTAACGTTTTTATTTGAACAGCTTGAAACTCTTGTTCCCAAAGTTACCACAAAAATAAAGTTTAGAATGTCATATATCAGGAACTGAGATACAACGATGACATAAATGTAGATCTAAAAAAGTCTAAATATTTAAAACTCACATATCTGCTTGTTGTTGAAGTAATGATTATATTTGTCAATGAGCAGGTTTTTATATTTTGTAGAACGTCGACTCTAGGGTTTTAGTGTAGATAGGTCAAGGACAAAGTATTTTGAGTGTGTGGACTGTTGTTTACTTACTTACACATAGTACGTCATTACGAATATAAAACAACTAATAAGAAGTTAATACACATACTTTTCCTTGACGTTTAGCTAATAGCAAAATCGTTTTTTTTTTAAAGATAATTTTTAAAAAAGTAATTAAATTTTCGTTTACGTATTTAGCTGTATTGAATCAAATGTGTTGAATTTCTTATGTTTGAATGAAAGCGTACATTTTTCGGCGTCGTTTATCTCCCCTGCTTAACCTTAATGTATTCACATTTGCTCTACTAGCCTGGTTCTGATTCCGTTTACAGTCCATAGAGTAGTGTCTAAGTAGTAAAAATGTACTTTAAAAGTGTAACAATAGTTGTCCATCTTGGTTTATACAAGCGTGTATACCGTAGACCAAATTAATATGTACTGACATATGTTTATTGTGGATTCTTCTTTTAAGGAAAGGCGATAAACTGATGGTTTATTTCATAACTTTATTTACAATAGTTAAATACATAATCAATGCAATTCATTTCAGTTTTTTATCACCCATCGTTGATACATCACTTAAAATCAAAGTGCATTAACACGCAAGATAAGAATCACATGAATAATATTGGGCTCATATCAAGTTCTAACAGTCCAAACACAAAGCGCAATAGTTAATATAATAGTTTTGATTAAATGTAACTCTGACGTACCTAGGCTGTAATTTTATGCTGTAGCTAGTAATGATGGTTGTGTTAAAGCTAATTTTTAACACGTTTTTCTTAACTCAGCTTCGTGTGTGTTTGTTGTTAAAATTGACATCGAAAATTAGCCCACTTCTGATTGCTCTAGAGATCTGAAATTTGGCATGTAGGCTACTTTCGCCTAACAATTTCAGATGCAATCATAAAAACTAGCAATTAGAGACCGTAATTAGCTTAATTTAATTACGCCCCAAGGACCATAAAATTGAGGACATGATTTCTAAAGATACCGACAAGACTGGAGGCCTATTGACACAGTTACTTCGGCCCCAATCGATGTGAGCGCGCTGGCCGTGATCGTATAGTGGTTAGTACTTCGCGTTGTGGCCGCGACAACCCAGGTTCGAATCCTGGTCGCTCAAGATTTTTAGTCCGTGTATTAATAAACACTTAGTAAAGTCATACTTAATCAAGTCATTAGATAAAGTAGAAAATAAACTATATAAAAAACTTTTTTAAAACCCACGTTTTTCATGTGTAGCAACAGACTAAAAAGGAGAAAATAAAATACTTAAAAAAACTTTTAAAAAAACCACGTTTTTCTTGTGGACTAAAAAGTAGAAAATAAATTTTTCTTTTGTGCTTCCTCGAGCTGTGCAGATTCTTGTGATGACTGACAAAAAACGTGGGTCGGGCAGATGGGTCGGGAAATTTGATGGTGAACGTACCCACGTTTTTTGTCAGTCATCACAAGAATCTGCACAGCTCGAGGAAGCACAAAAAAAAATGTATTTTCTACTTTTTAGTCCACTAGAAAAACGTGGTTTTTTAAAAAGTTTTTTAAAGTATTTTTTACTTCCTCAATGTAAAAGATAGATATTAGATGATTTCGATAGTTCATCCTACAAGTACTGTAGAAAGTTGGGACGTGATACCAAATTTATAAAGTGTACGCGATGCAATCGTCTCCAACGTGAAAAGTCTTGAAAAATCATAAAATATAAAAAAAAAAACACGGAAAATGTATTATTATTAAAATACATGTGTTTATGAAATCTTATCTTTAGTTTTTGTCTGACTGTATTCAAAGATTAACAAATTTGAAAATTGTTTTTTTTTAGAAATTTCGAAAAGAATGTAGTTTTTTTCTCGTCATCACTTGGCAATGGAGACATAAAGACATCCTTCAGTTCGATAGGCTAGCATAAATTATGAGGAAATACCTCACATGCGCAGTAAGTTACTATTTTGATAATATTCATTTTAGCAGTAGTAGACGCGATAACTTATAAGCATATTGATTTTTTATTATTACTATAATGCAGCTACGATTTAGAATACTGTCTCTAATATAGAAAGAATTTCGACTATATAATAGAAAAACAAAGTCGCATTTTTTAGACAGAATTTAAGAACAGAAAAGTGGAAAATATTACATCATTATAGCTCTAGGAAAAGCCAATCCTGAAGTACATATAGGCGATAACTCATTCTTATAGTGCTAACAGTGGCGGAACTAGAAAAAAGGGCCACCCCGCAAACAAAAAGGTTTGGGCTCCTATATATATATATATATATATATATATATATATATATATATATATATATATATATATATATATATATATATATATATAAACAAACACACAATACAAACATATAATACTCATTTCGAGCCTGATCGAGTGTTGAAAAAAGTTCTTTGCTTTTTTTTTTTTTTTTCATTTTAAACAAATTACGACAACAAATCATACGCGTGAGTGCATTAGTCTGTTTTTAAAATCTCCGTTTTATTTTATATATGCCGTAATACATGCACATGAAAGCTTTGTATTTGTAATGGTTACTCGTGTTATATTTATTTTTATGCTGTTTTGCATTTATGTTATTCATTTTTAATACATTTCCTTTTTATACAACGTCATTCTTTAGTACGTATTTCCAGAAAACAAATAATTAAGAGATGTAATTGCTTATTAATGTGTTTAGTACAAATCTATTAAAAGGAGCTTACGGGTATTCTTTTTTTGACTATTTAAAAAAGGGAAATAAGTCATGAAAGTGCTTTGAAAGTTTACTTATCTTTCACACTACAGCTCATGCATATATTTATATTTTTTTCTATAACGCAACAGCTTGTGTTAGCTACTGTAGAGCATCACTACTGTAGTAGATCTGTTTGTTTTTACAAAAACCACTAGAAACATGCCAGTTGCGGAACTAGAAAATGAAGACTATTGTAAAATACTAAAGGGAGAGAATTCAAATTATACACATTTACTACTATGACTTTTTTGTAAAACAAAAAGAAGTAAACATACATAAAACCGAAATTATTGTTATTGTATTATTTTTAATTATTATAGTATAGAATAGTAGTTCTACGAATACAACAAACGTACATTTTACTTTGTAAAACCTGAAGCGATTGTGGGCACCTAACCAATAAATTATGGTCGACTGAGGGCCCCCAAATGGCCTGCCCCCCCCCCCCCCCCCCCGCATTGCGGGGTCTGGTAGCACTGTAGTTCCACCCCTGAGTGCTAAGCACATAATGAATCACGAATTACAAAACAATACAAAGCTAATATTTTTTCATTTGAATTTTATTAAAACAAAACATTCCAAGAAATTATGTTGATAAATACAAAAGTAAAAAAGTAAAAAAAAATGTCTGCCGGAAACTTAAAACTCCTGGCGTTGACGGCGAGAGCTAGGGCGTCTGATTGTATGTAGTAAAAAATGAAACCACAATTAACTAAAGTAATGATTTAATGATGTCATTAAATAGCAACTTAACAGGGATGTCTTATCTCACAAAAGGAATATAGGCCAATGTTATCTGTCCATGTCAGTTATATAAGAGTTAACATTATGGTTGTCAAAATACTAAAAAATGGTTTTGAATGTTACTAACCTGTTTCTCTCATCCTGCCTTCTACCATCCCTGTCTCTCTCATCCTGCCTGTTACTGTCTCTCTCACCCTGTCTGTTACCTTCTCTGTCTCTCTCATCCTGTCTGTTACCTTCTCTGTCTCTCTCATCCTGCCTGCTCCCATCTCTGTCTCTCTCATCCTGCCTGCTCCCATCTCTGTCTCTCTCATCCTGTCTGTTACCTTCTCTGTCTCTCCCATCCTGCCTGTTACCTTCTCTGTCTCTCCCATCCTGCCTGTTACCTTCTCTGTCTCTCTCATCCTGCCTGTTACCTTCTCTGTCTCTCTCATCCTGTCTGTTACCTTCTCTCTCATCCTGTCTGTTACCTTCTCTGTCTCTCCCATCCTGCCTGTTACCTTCTCTGTCTCTCTCATCCTGCCTGTTACCTTCTCTGTCTCTCTCATCCTGCCTGTTACCATCTCTGTCTCTCTCACCCTGTCTGTTACCTTCTCTGTCTCTCTCATCCTGTCTGTTACCTTCTCTCTCATCCTGTCTGTTACCTTCTCTGTCTCTCCCATCCTGCCTGTTACCTTCTCTGTCTCTCTCATCCTGTCTGTTACCTTCTCTCTCATCCTGTCTGTTACCTTCTCTGTCTCTCCCATCCTGCCTGTTACCTTCTCTGTCTCTCTCATCCTGTCTGTTACCTTCTCTCTCATCCTGTCTGTTACCTTCTCTGTCTCTCCCATCCTGCCTGTTACCTTCTCTGTCTCTCTCATCCTGCCTGTTACCTTCTCTCTCATCCTGTCTGTTACCTTCTCTGTCTCTCTCATCCTGCCTGTTACCTTCTCTGTCTCTCTCATCCTGCCTGTTACCTTCTCTGTCTCTCTCATCCTGCCTGTTACCTTCTCTGTCTCTCCCATCCTGCCTGTTACCTTCTCTGTCTCTCTCATCCTGCCTGTTACCTTCTCTGTCTCTCTCATCCTGCCTGTTACCTTCTCTGTCTCTCTCATCCTGTCTGTTACCTTCTCTCTCATCCTGTCTGTTACCTTCTCTGTCTCTCCCATCCTGCCTGCTCCCATCTCTGTCTCTCTCATCCTGCCTGTTACCTTCTCTGTCTCTCCCATCCTGCCTGTTCCCATCTCTGTCTCTCTCATCCTGTCTGTTACCTTCTCTCTCATCCTGTCTGTTACCTTCTCTGTCTCTCTCATCCTGCCTGTTACCTTCTCTGTCTCTCCCATCCTGCCTGTTCCCATCTCTGTCTCTCTCATCCTGTCTGTTACCTTCTCTCTCATCCTGTCTGTTACCTTCTCTGTCTCTCTCATCCTGCCTGCTCCCATCTCTGTCTCTCTCATCCTGCCTGAAGTTACCATCTCTGTCTCTCTCATCCTGTCTGTTACCTTCTCTGTCTCTCCCATCCTGCCTGTTCCCATCTCTGTCTCTCTCATCCTGTCTGTTACCTTCTCTGTCTCTCTCATCCTGCCTGTTACCTTCTCTGTCTCTCTCATCCTGCCTGCTCCCATCTCTGTCTCTCCCATCCTGCCTGCTCCCATCTCTGTCTCTCTCATCCTGCCTGTTACCTTCTCTGTCTCTCTCATCCTGCCTGCTCCCATCTCTGTCTCTCTCATCCTGCCTGTTACCTTCTCTGTCTCTCTCATCCTGTCTGTTACCTTCTCTGTCTCTCCCATCCTGCCTGTTACCATCTCTGTCTCTCTCATCCTGTCTGTTACCTTCTCTGTCTCTCTCATCCTGTCTGTTACCTTCTCTCTCATCCTGTCTGTTACCTTCTCTGTCTCTCCCATCCTGCCTGTTACCATCTCTGTCTCTCCCATCCTGCCTGCTCCCATCTCTGTCTCTCTCATCCTGCCTGTTACCTTCTCTGTCTCTCTCATCCTGCCTGAAGTTCCCATCTCTGTCTCTCTCATCCTGTCTGTTACCTTCTCTGTCTCTCTCATCCTGCCTGCTCCCATCTCTGTCTCTCTCATCCTGCCTGTTACCTTCTCTGTCTCTCTCATCCTGCCTGTTACCATATCTGTCTCTCTCATCCTGCCTGTTATCTTCTCTGTCTCTCTCATCCTGCCTGTTACCATATCTGTCTCTCTCATCCTGCCTGTTACCATATCTGTCTCTCTCATCCTGTCTGTTACCTTCTCTGTCTCTCTCATCCTGTCTGCTACCATCCCTGTCTCTCTCATCCTGCCTGTTACCTTCTCTGTCTCTCCCATCCTGCCTGCTACCATCTCTGTCTCTCCCATCCTGCCTGCTACCATCTCTGTCTCTCCCATCCTGCCTGCTACCATCTCTGTCTCTCCCATCCTGCCTGCTACCATCTCTGTCTCTCTCATCCTGCCTGTTACCATATCTGTCTCTCTCATCCTGTCTGTTACCTTCTCTGTCTCTCTCATCCTGTCTGCTACCATCCCTGTCTCTCTCATCCTGCCTGTTACCTTCTCTGTCTCTCCCATCCTGCCTGCTACCATCTCTGTCTCTCCCATCCTGCCTGCTACCATCTCTGTCTCTCCCATCCTGCCTGCTACCATCTCTGTCTCTCTCATCCTGTCTGTTACCATCTCTGTCTCTCTCATCCTGTCTGCTCCCATCTCTGTCTCTCTCATCCTGTCTGTTACCATCTCTGTCTCTCTCATCCTGCCTGCTACCATCTCTGTCTCTCCCATCCTGCCTGCTACCATCTCTGTCTCTCTCATCCTGTCTGTTACCATCTCTGTCTCTCTCATCCTGCCTGCTACCATCTCTGTCTCTCCCATCCTGCCTGCTACCATCTCTGTCTCTCTCATCCTGCCTGCTACCATCTCTGTCTCTCCCATCCTGCCTGCTACCATCTCTGTCTCTCTCATCCTGTCTGTTACCTTCTCTCTCATCCTGTCTGCTACCATCTCTGTCTCTCTCATCCTGCCTGTTACCTTCTCTGTCTCTCTCATCCTGCCTGCTACCATCCCTGTCTCTCCCATCCTGCCTGCTACCATCTCTGTCTCTCTCATCCTGCCTGCTACCATCTCTGTCTCTCCCATCCTGCCTGCTACCATCTCTGTCTCTCCCATCCTGCCTGCTACCTTCTCTGTCTCTCTCATCCTGCCTGTTACCATCTCTGTCTCTCTCACCCTGTCTGTTACCTTCTCTGTCTCTCTCATCCTGTCTGTTACCTTCTCTCTCATCCTGTCTGTTACCTTCTCTGTCTCTCCCATCCTGCCTGTTACCTTCTCTGTCTCTCTCATCCTGTCTGTTACCTTCTCTCTCATCCTGTCTGTTACCTTCTCTGTCTCTCCCATCCTGCCTGTTACCTTCTCTGTCTCTCTCATCCTGTCTGTTACCTTCTCTCTCATCCTGTCTGTTACCTTCTCTGTCTCTCCCATCCTGCCTGTTACCTTCTCTGTCTCTCTCATCCTGCCTGTTACCTTCTCTCTCATCCTGTCTGTTACCTTCTCTGTCTCTCTCATCCTGCCTGTTACCTTCTCTGTCTCTCTCATCCTGCCTGTTACCTTCTCTGTCTCTCTCATCCTGCCTGTTACCTTCTCTGTCTCTCCCATCCTGCCTGTTACCTTCTCTGTCTCTCTCATCCTGCCTGTTACCTTCTCTGTCTCTCTCATCCTGCCTGTTACCTTCTCTGTCTCTCTCATCCTGTCTGTTACCTTCTCTCTCATCCTGTCTGTTACCTTCTCTGTCTCTCCCATCCTGCCTGCTCCCATCTCTGTCTCTCTCATCCTGCCTGTTACCTTCTCTGTCTCTCCCATCCTGCCTGTTCCCATCTCTGTCTCTCTCATCCTGTCTGTTACCTTCTCTCTCATCCTGTCTGTTACCTTCTCTGTCTCTCTCATCCTGCCTGTTACCTTCTCTGTCTCTCCCATCCTGCCTGTTCCCATCTCTGTCTCTCTCATCCTGTCTGTTACCTTCTCTCTCATCCTGTCTGTTACCTTCTCTGTCTCTCTCATCCTGCCTGCTCCCATCTCTGTCTCTCTCATCCTGCCTGAAGTTACCATCTCTGTCTCTCTCATCCTGTCTGTTACCTTCTCTGTCTCTCCCATCCTGCCTGTTCCCATCTCTGTCTCTCTCATCCTGTCTGTTACCTTCTCTGTCTCTCTCATCCTGCCTGTTACCTTCTCTGTCTCTCTCATCCTGCCTGCTACCATCCCTGTCTCTCTCATCCTGCCTGCTCCCATCCCTGTCTCTCTCATCCTGCCTGCTAGCATCCCTAGCCTCACCAAATATTCTGTCTATGTCCCTACTGTCCAGAATGCCATTGTTATCTTTATCTAAGTTATCAAAATTCTTCTGGAATCTTCGATCTTGAGGGTCAGGATATCTGGCATCAACCCATCTTTCATATTCATCTCTGGACACTTGACCGTTCCTGTCGTCATCTTGTTTCTAAAAATACGTTAAAATATGTCCTAATAATGAAACTGTTTAAATTTATACGTAAAATGAGAACTATTTTCAAACAATCTCTTCTCCATTTATTGTTTAACTCACACGAAGTCTCTGTTTCAGCTCTTTTTTCAAGATTTGTCTAGCACGATTCTCGTCCCTGTTCCTTGAAGATTGTTGAAAATACGGTTGTTGATTTCGCACAACATTTAATATTCTGATACGATTCAGTTGTCTGGCAATAGATCTAATTTAAATGAGAAAAGAAAACACGTTATTGAATATTTGTTGTTAATTACTAAATTATTTTTAAAATAAAAGCAAATCTCTTAGTGTCTCAAATAGATGCAAAATTGGGAAATGTTAAAAATAATTTATAAAATAGTTTGAACATTTGGAAAAAAACTGAAATGTAATAAAAAGTAAATTTTGCTTGCTATTTTAAAAAGTTTAAAACGATTACAAGCAAGTACACATTAATTACGAGGAAATGTTTATACAAAAAAGATAAGCAGAAAAAAGCAATCTAGATAAAGTAATGTATTATAATGCAATATACAACATGCACATAAGACTTAAATCAGCTGCATAAATAAATCAGTTATAACCAAATGCTTCCTTGTAAATGTAACAAAATAAAGTCACTAATTGCGAATAGAAACATTCATGAGAAGTTTATATCTGACCTTCTTTGCTCTTCGTCAGATACACGACCGTCTCTGTCAGTGTCAGCCTGATCAAAGATGGCGTCAACATCTTGTCTATCCAGAACACCGTTTCTATCTTTATCCAGGTCATCGAAATGTTCCTTCAGAATTCTTCTGGTCTGTGGGTCACGGTGCTCAGCGTCGACGTGACGGTCATATTCTTCTCTGGTCACTTGACCGTCCTGGTCATCGTCTTTATTCTGAATATATCATATATATATATATATATATATATATATATATATATATATATATATATATATATATATATATATATATATATACATATATATATATATATATATATATATATATATATATATATATATATATATATATATATATATATATATATATATATATATATATATATTTATATATATAAACATAATTATATATATATATATATATATATATATATATATATATATATATATATATATTTATATATATAAACATAATTATATATATATATATATATATATATATATATATATATATATATATATATATATATCATATATGTATAGGCTTAAATATAAGTATCGAAAAATAAAAGTACAACTTACATTAAAATCTTCCCTTAATTCCGACCGTGAAATATATCCGTCACCATTTCTGTCCATCTTTCTGAAGAATCGTGAACTCAAGTTTTCGACTTGAATGCCTAAAGTCAATGCTGCTATGCGATTAACTTGTCTAGCGACATGTCTGAATACGTAAATCAAAAATACATAGTTGTATAGTTGAAAAACAAAAACAATAGCATATTGATATGTGAAAATCGTTAAATTATGTAACCGTTTTCTCACAAAATTTAAGTAGTCAATGTTTTTTTCATAGGTTAAAATTTATTAATTTTTTTAAAGCTGAATTTAGATGACAATGTGGAATGTTTGATTGTCTGTGGATTTGTGGATAAACTTGTGACGCAATGTTGACCTAATTCTAATGTAGCGAGTTGTTTTCTAATGACAATGCAACAATATATAATGTTTAATCTATAGACTATATATTAGATTGTCATAATAATTTACTTTAACGATGACATATAAGAGGGGAAATAAGATTTATCGCTCTATCAGCCTCAGGATGATGATGTACTGTTTATTTCACAGCTGTTTGGTTTTCCTACTGATAAGGGGCAGATATTTATTTTACACATTTTGCAAGAAACCAATGAGGTTTTAAATTAAAATGTTTTAATCGTATTTGGTGTCTATTTCATTTAAAACAAAATACTAAAGAAGAAAGATAAAGCTGCTATAAAAAATTAATACTAATAAACTTAAATGCATTACATTTTGAAAATAAAACTAATTTTCTTTATTTAGTAAAGACATTCGCCGTTCATGGAATCTCTCACATATTTAAGCGACTAATGATTTTTAAAAAATAAAGCAAGTTGTTTATTTTCTTATTTTCAATTCATTTAATAATTTATAAATTATACATGTTTTTATACTTAATTGATGAAATGATGAGCACAAATTCCCCACTGGCCGCTTATACAAAAATGCATGGTTTTATTTTATAACCGAAACAAAATTTAAGAACAAACAAAGTTCTCAACCAACCTATCGCACAATCCCGTGATAGCCCAAATCAAATTAGAGAACAAAGTTTTGAACCAACCTGTCGTACCATCCTGTGATAGCCCAAATCAAATGTAAGAACAAAGTTTTGAACCAACCTGTCGTACCATCCTGTGATAGCCCAAACTAAATGTAAGAACAAAGTTTTGAACCAACCTGTCGTACCATCCTGTGATAGCCCAAATCAAATGTAAGAACAAAGTTTTGAACCAACCTGTCGTACCATCCTGTGATAGCCCAAATCAAATGTAAGAACAAAGTTTTGAACCAACCTGTCGTACCATCCTGTGATATCCCAAACTAAATGTAAGAACAAAGTTTTGAACCAACCTGTCGTACCATCCTGTGATAGCCCAAATCAAATGTAAGAACAAAGTTTTGAACCAACCTGTCGTACCATCCTGTGATAGCCCAAATCAAATGTAAGAACAAAGTTTTGAACCAACCTGTCGTACCATCCTGTGATAGCCCAAATCAAATGTAAGAACAAAGTTTTGAACCAACCTGTCGTACCATCCTGTGATATCCCAAATCAAATGTAAGAACAAAGTTTTGAACCAACCTGTCGTACTCGTCTTGTGAGAGACGGTCATCTCTGTCCGTGTCCGCCTCATCAAAGTTTGCTTCAGCGTCTCTTCTGTCCAGAACACCATTTCTATCTTTATCCATGTGCTCAAAAAGTTGCTTCAATATTCTTCTGGTCTGGTGGTCGGGCTGTTGCTCATCGACCCTACGGTTATATTCTTCTTGTGTCACGGGTCGGTTTCTTTCATCATCCTATTCGAAATACCGTATTATAATTTAGAGTAGCGGTTTGGAAAAATTATATTTTATATTATATGAGAGAGTAGCTATCTAAAATATACATTTTGTTAAACATTTTTGTAACGACTAATTTGCATTCACTAGTATATAAAGATTAAAGAAAACCTTGAATTACATTTTGATTTTCCCTGGCTTCTGATCTAGAGATGTGTTCATCTCCGTTCGCATCCAAACGTCTGAACGACTGAGACGACATAAGTTTGACCATTCTACCCAAACCTGAAGAATCTTTACGAGACTGTTGTCTTGAGATAGATCTAAGATGCAATAAATGGTTGCAATTTTGCTATTTATATTTTTTTAATTTTATGTAAGCAACATTTGTTGATATGTGTCTATCTTTTTTTTTTAAAGATAAGCAAGTTTTAAATAATATTAGCAACCTACACTAAAATACGTGCTTTTTACTTTATTTTAGGGGTCGTCCATAAATGACGTCACACTCGTAGGAGGAGGGGGGGGGGGGTCCGCATTTTTGTGACGGTGTGTGATGAGGGGAGTGAGGGGGGGGGGGATCAGATGGTGCGATTTCACACTTTTGCATTATAAAAAAGCAATGTTAGAAAACGAATTTTAGACGTTATTTTGCGTATTAGAAAACTGTTTTAATAAATTGTATTAACAGAGTTTAGGCAAGATTTTGGAAAAATATAGCTGTTTAAAAAAAAAATTAAACTGCAATTTTGAGGGGGGTTGTAGGCTGAGGTGTGACGTCATTTAAGGGGGGGGGTCTGGCTTTTTGTGACGACGTGTGACGGAGGGGAGGGGGGAGGTACCAATCGTCAAAAAAGCGTGACGTCATTTATGGATGACCCCTTATTGAATATCCACGAATTTAAATAATTTAAACTTTGTGATCGCCCCTTGCGCCGTTCTTCTAATTTACTAGTATCGTGTAGTCCGGGACACCATATTTATGTGAAAAATAAGGTTTAAAATATTTTTAGCAAATGTTTGTTGATTTTTCTTTTAGAAAATGTTTGTAGAAAATGTTTGTTGAAAATGTTTATGGAAAATGTTTTTAGAAAATGTTTGTAGAAAATGTTTGTAGAAAATATTTGTAGAAAATATTTGCAGAAAATGTTTGTCGAAAATGTTTGAAGAAAATGTTTTATCGATGTTTGAAGAAAATCACTCAACTGACCTGTCATACTCATTTTCATCTATTCTCTCATCTCTGTCTGAGTCAGCCTCATCAAAGATCTCATCGATGTCTCCTCTGTTGAGAACGCCATTTCTGTCTCTATCAAGATCATCAAAAAGTTTCCTCAAAACTGTCCTGGTCTGTGGGTCAAGGTGTTCAGCATCCACCCTGCGGTCATACTCGTCTCTTGTCAGTTGTCCGTTCCTGTCTTCATCCCTCCACTTGCGAATATAACAGTCAAATAAAAGTTGAGTTGTATAAACCAACGAACTCATGGTAAAATAATGTATTTTTAAAAATGTGTTTAATAACAATAATCCCCATTTAAGTAAGTATATTTTTATAAATACTGTGTCTGTGTCATTTAAATGTATACTGCAGCTCGTAAATTTCCATAACAAATTATTATTTTCAATTTAAAAAGATACCCATGGTGGTTTATACACGAAAAGATCAGTTCAAAGAGCAAAAAGAAACGATTATTGAAATGGGAAAAACATTAAATGCACTAAACGATATTAATGCCTTTTATAAGCAATATATCTACGTGAATTTATGTTGTCGACATCCACTGTTCGTAGCTCTGGTGTTAAATGATATTAGCTGATGTTGTTTGATGTTTCCTGGTGCTTTCCTAATGTTGCGTGAGATAAAAAAGAGATTTCCGTTAACAATATATTTTTTAAATGCCTACTTGTAAATGGTTCTGTATCTCTGATCTAGAAATATGTCCATCGCCGTTAGCATCCAACTTCCTGAAGGGCTGGGACCGCCCAGGGTTGATATTCCTTCCCCAGGCTATACCCAGGATGCAAATAACAAGTGTAAGTCGAAACATTTTATTCGTTGAGAAATCTGTAAAACAAAATTTAAAAAGTTAAGCCTATAAATAAAATGTAAAGATTGAAAATAATTATTAAAAATTCTATTAATGAAATTGAATGTTAAGAAAACAAAAATATGCAATATTAATTTCTTTGTTTTTCTTCTACATTAATATATATATATATATATATATATATATATATATATATATATATATATATATATATATATATATATATTTCAAATTCTACTCAATAGGATTGTATAGTCTTTCTCGGTGATCTAAAAGAAAACACTTCATACCTAGTAGCTGTTGTTGTAGTGATGGCCGTTGTAGGGAGATGGTTTTTATATGCTTTAGTCAAGTTTTACAGGTCATATTATTGTTGGCCTCTTCATGATCATGGCGTGGACACCGTTGTTTTTGTATCTGATTTTTTGTTTATTTAGTCATAGTTTACACTCTCAGTTGATCTTAAAACAATAAACAAAAATATTGTTCTTTCTTGTTTATAATTTTAAAGTACAAAAATTCTATCTTTGAACTTATTTATTTGAAGAGGTCGCTAAAATTGAAATGTAAGGAGTTATAGACTTTATAAACAAATAACCATGCAAAACATCGTCTTAATAGCGACCTTTTATTAGTTCAAGGTACATTACTGTCACGCTATTTACGAAAGATTTTTCACTAAACACTTTAAAACAAATGAATGATTCAGCGTTATCATATTTTACGCAGTTCTTTGGCTCAGTTTTGTAAAGTTTTCATTAACTTGTCCGTGTAAATTTAATGATAAAATGTGCACTTTTATAAAGAAACATTTCAACTTCTCACAACCTTTGTGCTCTGTGGTCGATAAAGTACATACAAGCGAGAATACTGAACAATTCTTATCTCGACTGTGTGGCCCCTCTGCCCTTTAACACAGTTAAAACAAGCTCCAAAATATGCGATGCTAGTTTTTACACCGAGAAAATAGGTGGTCACTGCGTGTGACAAAAATATACAAATATTTAAGAGTACAATATTTACACCTGAGTGTTATAGGATCAAAAGAAGCAGAGTTTATCATTTCTTTGTCCAGGATTTGTAAAATTTTCTTTCTATACTTTTTTATGTCGCATTTAACTACCAACCTTGTTGAATACCAAATTTCTTACATTTCTTGTTTAATCAGAAGAATCAGTGTTTCTTCCAGGCATCTCTTCGAACAAAGTCTACCCCCTACCCCACGAACGAAATGGAATTTATATAGAAAATATATACTTTTAACAGTGTCCTCCCCCAAGGAAATGTTTCGTCCATCTCCCCCCTCCCCAAAAATTTAAAGTGCCTCGACCCCCGGAGAAAAAAGTCTGGAAGAAACACCGAGCAGAATTGCCCGACGATACAGGTGTGCTTTTCAAATAGCAAAACAAAGGAAACAGCATTTGTATGATAAAACAATTTTTTTACAGACATTTTGTGTAATTAAATGCAATATTAAACAAAGTGGCCTACTTCAGGCAAGAAACAACTGACGTATATAAACAAAGATGTTTTAATTGTTTTTTTATTTCAAATGTATTTCTAATAAAATATTGTATTCGGTGTACTTTACAAGCTAATGCATCGACTAATAAGATTTTTAAATCTCTACAATATGTACATTTAAGGTACATTAGATAGATATAGTTTTACCAAATGAATGCGTTACGTTTTACGTTCTCAAAAGTTATGAAACTCTTTACATACAACTTTGAACAAATATGATAAAGAGAGAGGAACAAACACATAAATATGTGTCTGAATTTTTTGTACGTGTAAATATATAAATAAACAATAAAGTAGGATATTAAATAAATAAAGAAAGATATATTATATAGAACAATTGAAAAAAATACTAAAAGTGTTGTTTTTTTTATCTTTTGTACTTTTTGTTAATATTTTGATCGTACACTATAACAAAATATATTAAACACGTTTGTTCAGTGGAAGTTAATATACCAGAAGACTAGATAACTTAATTGCAGTTTAAGTAGGTTGACAAAATTTTAAATAGAATTTTTATATCAAATGTTGCAATTTTGCCCTAGATATATAGTTTAGCGATGTCCGTTAAGTGAAAGTGGTACTTACTCTCCTTCCGGTTTCTCAAAATGTACCATTTAAGTTAGATGGAAGATATTTCACACATTTTCACATATAAGACTACATTGTTCGCGAATGTTTTTTCTTCACACTTTGAACGTAAAACGTGAAATTGTTCATTATTTTCGTTTTAACACTATAACCTGAGTAATGTTTCAGTTACGTAGACAAAATTTCATATATAAGTATAAGGTATCCTACTTTCAATTTTTGAATGAACATCGATAAACAAAAGTGGTAGCCTACTTTACTCTGTTTCTGGTTTCTAAAATACCATAACGTGAGTACCGTTTCAGTTAGATTGACGAAGTTTTACAAATATGTATAAGAGCTAATTATTTGATTCTCTTAAATTTTGAGTAATTTCCGGCAAACGGAAGTGATTTATTTTGCTTTCCTGTTTGGTTACAGGATAAAATCTGCACTATTTGTACAGCTGTAAAATGCGTATTTATGTAGAGAATAATGTTCTTTTTTACCAAACTGTTAATCACAAATTCATTTAAAGAAGTTTATTAATTTATTGATATATTCATTGGTAGAAACACCACTTTGATTATAAAATTTCAGAACAATTACTTTATTTATAGTGACGTCACATCATTTCGTAATTTTACAACAATTATGGTGGCTTCTTCCATGGAAGATCATGTTGCCCGTACAAAAGTTTAACGCATTATAAAGCTAGATTTTCTGTCGGCTATAGCTTTAACGATACGTCGGTTTGCTATTTTTATTAGATTCCAACACTATTTTCAATTTTCATTAGGATACGCTGGGCAGTTCTTCTTAGTTGACTATAAAATAAATGTATCTAGCCTATATATCTAGAGATTCTAGATCTACCGATAGGCTAAACCTAAATTAGATCTAGATCTTATTAGTTAGATACAAAAAAACACAATAAACTAATTTAGTGCTTAAATATTTGATATAAATCTTAGCTTTTTAGCTTCAATGATAATCTAATTCGAGAGTACAAAGGATTTATCTATCAAGATTCTAGATCTAGAGCTACGGAAAAGCTAGACTTAAGCTAGCCGTAGATTCTAGATCTAGAATCTAGATCTAGCTCTATCTAGATCTAGAATCTATGCCAATAATGAGTTTCTTCTAAATTATTTCAGGCCTTAATTATTTTATATAAAGCTTTGTTTGTTTGACTATGGAATTGGCTAATTTGGGATATAATTTAATTTGAAATAATGGACCTTTTCGCGTAACTCAAGTTTCTTACGCGGACTCTCTAAGTACACTATCCCAGTAATTTTGCACTTAATCGGAAGTGCCTAGCTGAGTTGTGAGTGTAATACGGGTTCGAGACACATCATGTGCCTAGATAGCTGAGTTGTGAGTATAATAGTTACCTTGCGGGTGGTACGGGTTCGAGACACATCATGTCAATGTTAAAAAAAAATTCAATTTTTCTTTTTAGATGTAACTGATAAAGTTACTTATCGTGATTTAGCGGAACTTGGGGCAGGTGAAGTAGAGTTCACCTGCTTCTATGTTCTCAGCATATGAAATGATAGTATGGTCAGAACTACCCTCAGCCAAAATAGGTGTTTTTTAACGACAATAACATGTTGCCTGATGTTGCATGTGGGGTCTCAGTTTTCCTGAAGATGTGTGATAGTGGGAAGCGAAGTGGAAAGATAAAAATCGTCAAATAAACATGACCTCATTTATGGATGACCCCCGAAACACACGGTTATTCAAGAATAACGGGTAGTCTAGTCCTATTTAATACGATAAATGTTAGGGGAGATCACTCCTTCTTTATTCAGTCAAGGAATCCTAAACTTATTTTAAAACAAGTTGGGTAGTTTAATGGTTTATCTTTTGTTTCTCCTATACAGAGTAACGGAGAATATATAAACGTTGATCAGGATAATGAAATCAATTTTTTTTTGTATTTCTGTCTGCGTGTTTGGTGTCTGTTTACACGACACCTTGAGTAACGTTTTATTTATTTTTAACGACATTACATTTACAATTATAATATCCAATTATGAATAACTTTTGTGATCTTTCCGGTAAGCATATGTGGCACACACTCTACCCTTATGTTTGTTTAAAGCCAATAAATTGAGTAGGCCTATCGTTTAAGTTAGGTTGAGAAAATTTCACGCCAAAGTCTATAGATTGTATGCGCATGTTTCTTTTAACTTTTAATTAATTTCCGATAATCGGAAATGGTACACTGCTTCAATAAGGTAGACGAAAGTCCATATATATGTATACAATCTAATACTTATATTACTTTAAAAATTCTTAGGGAATTACCGTAGCCGGAAGTGGTATTTTACTGATTTCCGATTTCTCAATAACATTCAGTATAGAATATCTTTTATTATATTATCAAAAGTATATTCTAAGACATTTTGCGTGTCCTAAAAAACTAGTGATTTCGTCACATACGTATGTATTTCTATAGCGCGATTAAACTGAACTTGTCATGGGCTTAATTCTTATTTAAGAATATACAAATAAGTTTAGGAGAGCTGACTAAGGCTTCATTTCATATTTTATTCGAATGGTGTTTAGATATAAATTAATTTTTTTTAAATGTGTTTTGTTTCGTCTGCTAAACAGTAAATTGTTCCTGCAGAATCCACGAGGCAATTTTCTTATTTACTGAACAAATTAAAGACAAGTAATAGGAAAATAGCTAAAGCGATTTTTACAATGGTAGTGTGTTGAACAAAAATAATGAATTAATTGCTCTTAGCTAAAAAGGTATTTTCTTTTGTGTGAAAAAATCTATAGGTAAACAAACGTTATTTGATTTCATTTCGTTATTGTTGAAAATTATTTCCTAATGTGGTTTGGCGAATAACATCACTTACATCTTTGTCTCTTCTCTCATTTACAACCATAAGAAACATTTTGTAACACTCGTATTTTTGTACAATATATAAAACTTTATTGAAAATAATAAAAAAGTGACAAAATAAATCTGATTACAAAGTATAAAAAAATTCTGTTCAATTCCTTGATGACGAGCCAGGCAGCAAGGATATCAGATGCGCTGTCTACAAAAAAAATAAGTAAGAATATTACATATATTGTACTTGTGAAAATACAAAAATATTATTAATTTTGAAATAATATTTTTATATTTTTGTAAAGTTCATTGATTTATTGGTTATTAACAGATGGTGTACCATTACCTAAATATATATCCTAATTTATTTGAATTTTAATTCACACTAACCTTTCGTAGTTTTGTTATTGTCGGTATCTGCCTTCTCTGTCATCCCTGTCTCTGTTTTCATCTCTGTCTCTGTTTTCATCTCTGTCTCTGTTTTCATCTCTGTCTCTGTTTTCACCCCTGTCTCTTCTATCATCTCTGTCTCTGTTTTCATCCCTGTCTCTTCTGTCATCTCTGTCTCTGTTTTCATCCCTGTCTCTTCTGTCATCTCTGTTTTCATCCCTGTCTCTTCTGTCATCTCTATCTCTGTTTTCATCCCTGTCTCTTCTATCATCTCTGTCTCTGTTTTCATCCCTGTCTCTTCTGTCATCTCTGTCTCTGTTTTCATCTCTGTCTCTGTTTTCATCTCTGTCTCTGTTTTCACCCCTGTCTCTTCTGTCATCTCTGTTTTCATCCCTGTCTCTTCTGTCATCTCTGTCTCTGTTTTCATCTCTGTCTCTGTTTTCATCTCTGTCTCTGTTTTCACCCCTGTCTCTTCTGTCATCTCTGTTTTTACCCCTGTCTCTTCTGTCATCTCTGTTTTCATCCCTGTCTCCTCTGTCATCTCTGTCTCTGTTTTCATCTCTGTCTATGTTTTCACCTCTGTCTCTTCTGTCATCTCTGTCTCTGTTTTCACCCCTGTCTCTTCTGTCATCTCTGTTTTCACCCCTGTCTCTTCTGTCATCTCTGTCTCTGTTTTCATCCCTGTCTCTTCTGTCATCTCTGTTTTCATCCCTGTCTCTTCTGTCATCTCTGTTTTCACCCCTGTCTCTTCTTTCATCTCTGTTTTCATCCCTGTCTCTTCTGTCATCTCTGTCTCTGTTTTCATCTCTGTCTCTGTTTTCACCCCTGTCTCTTCTGTCATCTCTGTTTTCACCCCTGTCTCTTCTGTCATCTCTGTTTTCATCCCTGTCTCTTCTGTCATCTCTGTTTTCATCCCTGTCTCTTCTTTCATCTCTGTCTCTGTTTTCATCCCTGTCTCTTCTGTCATCTCTGTTTTCATCCCTGTCTCTTCTGTCATCTCTGTCTCTGTTTTCATCTCTGTCTCTTCTGTCTTCTCTGTTTTCATCCCTGTCTCTTCTGTCATCTCTGTTTTCATACCTGTCTCTTCTGTCTTCTCTGTTTTCATCCCTGTCTCTTCTGTCTTCTCTGTCTCTGTTTTCATCCCTGTCTCTTCTGTCATCTCTGTCTCTTCTGTTATCTCTGTTTCTGCTTTCATCCCTGTCTCTTCTGTCATCCCTGTCTCTTCTGTCATCTCTGTCTCTGTTTTCATCTCTGTCTCTTCTCTCATCTCTGTTTTCATCCCTGTCTCTGCTGTCATCTCTGTCTCTGTTTTCATACTTCTCTCTTGTCAATTGTCTGCTCCTGTCTTGCCCCTAAAACAACCGTATTTTTTAAATTAAAAATTTTAGTTAATTTGTTAGATCTTTGTAGTTTAGTAATGGTTAGCACATTACCTTCTTTTATACCAGAATGTTGTATAATTTTATGACACATTTGTTCTTTTGTACTTTTTATTTTGTTTCTATATACGAATAAACTATAGGATTCAACATTTTTAAAAGAACTTACGCTTCTCTCGTCAGCCTCTTGTCTATCCTCCCTAAAGGATGCTTTAATGTGTCGTAATCGTCTGGCAACTTGTCTGTAGTATTAAAAACATTTTTTGAAAGACTTATTAAAGAATTTAATGTCTAAAATAGTGATCAACTCGATAACATGAAAAGATGGCCTGTATAGATTGTTCACTAAAAGCTGACTACTAAAAGGGTTATGAAATTGTAAAATCTTAAAATTCAAAGCAAAAACATGTGTTAATTGTCGCGGATAAAGTTTAAAAAAAAACTATTTATATAATTATAGGCACCAACCTTTTGTATTCATCCTCAGAGAGACGACCATCTCTGCCAGTGTCAGCCTGATCAAAGATGGCGTCAACATCTCGTCTGTCCAGAACACCGTTTCTATCTTTATCCAGGTCATCGAAATGCTCCTTCAGAATTCTTCTGGTCTGTGGGTCACGGTGCTCAGCGTCGACGTGACGGTCATATTCCTCTCTGGTCACTTGGCCGTCTTGGTCATCGTCTTTATCCTATGTTAGACCAAAAGCATTTGCAGAGAAGGTTTAAATAGTTCTATAAATTATTACTTTTATACGTATATGATATTGATATATAATTGGTAAGCTATATTTCTGTATAGATCACTCATAATAAACATTCATTTACCTGTATTCTGCTGGTCATCTCAGATCTAGAGAGTTGACCATCACGGTTCTTGTCTAATTCCCTGAAGGACTGGGAACTGTCTTGATCCACATACCTACCCAAAGCCATGGATAGGATGCAAAACACACATGCAAGTCGGAAGTTCATAGTTGTGATGATTCTGCGAAAATACATGCATGTTACTATAATTTAAATCTAATCGCCTACATTAATTTTAAATTTGGTTCATATATTAACGGTAAAATTAAATAGTTTCAAATAAATTTAGTTACAGACCTGGTAGATTTCGTAATGTTTAATGACTTGGGTTGCGTTCACGCATGTTTTTATATGTTTTTAAAAGCAATATCATTGGAACAGAGGGCTGCTCACCACATGATCAATGCATGTGCACTGTTGTTTTTGTGAATGATTTGTGGACTAATTTTATATAGTTAATTCAGATTTGCGTTCCATATTTCGATAACTCATAAACAAAAATAGTTTGTTTTTATTTTGTTACATATCTTTCTATTTTTGTTGACTTTGTTATTTGTCAAAGTAAAAAAAAACACAAATAAAATGAAAGTGTACTTATCTATCTAACCAATAAGTCGCAGGTAAAGAAACAAATGTTAATAGAAATGTTTATTTTTTACACAAAATTAGGTCGTTTTCCTTTTTAAAAAATTTAGACAAAATGCAATTTATTGTATGCTTGTATTTTTTTTTAAATACATCTTGGGGTTGTTATCTTTTTATTTTTTCTCGGTTTCTTGACCTAGTTGAAAATGAAATAGATTTTTATGTCAAGGCCAGTTTAGTGCGAGGCTAAGCCTTTAACACACGCATTTCGCCCTTCTTTCAGCTCTTGCTTAGTAAATAACAACATGCCTGTTTTTATTTAATTTTGTTTTAAATGCGATATCTCGTCTCACACAAAAATAGTAGAAAAATAACTGTTTATTCCCGTTTAGTGTTAGGTACAGATCGGCCGTAGGCTATTGCTGAAGATTAGTGTGACATTCTACTTTAATAGGGTTTGGCAGTCTGATGGGGTGATTAAGGGGGGAGCGATGATTGATCAAACAAAATCGCAGGGTTCTGTCCCCGGGCAGATGAGGCTCGTATCCTGCGTTGAGTATTTCTTCTAGAACAGAAAATGTCGAAATCAATCAACTGCTAAATAAAGAGGCGTAGCAATCCATTCCCCAGGGGCAAGCGTTCAATATGACTCCCCAGATATACATACATACTTACATATATATATATATATATATATATATATATATATATATATATATATATATATATATATATATATATATATATATATATATATATATATATACATATATATATATATATATATAGTTTATGCACCTTACATCCTTTTAGATCAATTACTTTCCTGATTGGGATAGATCACAGACAAGAAAAAAATACATATTTTCTGTTTGTTTTCATGTTAGAAATAAAATTATTGAATTTGCATGTAGCGATAAAGTGCAACATGGTAGAAAATAAAAAAAATATTTTAAACAACCTTTATTTATTTTATTGTCTAAATGCAATATTTTTAAAAATATTTTTACATCAATAATAGTTTTGAAACCGTTCATAATTATCCTCCTTGTGATTTGTCTATAATTATGTTTTTTTGCGTATTTGTTTTCGTCTATGTTTGCTTTTATATTTTAGCTTAAGTTTGCGTTTAGATTTGCGTATGTTTGTGTTAATGATTGAGTTTATATTTACGTTTGAGTTCATGTTTATGTTTGATATTTGTGTTGGCATTTGCAATAACTTTTGCGTTAGCGTTTTTGTTTGCGCTTAAATTTATATGTTGTGTACACACGGTGATCCGATGCGTAGTACAACATGTAAGACAAACAACCACAAACGGGTTACAAATATAAGACTGAATGAAAACAAAGGCTCGTTAAAACTAACTAGCTCGTTGCACCTAATACAGTCTATTCTAAGCACAAAATGTACAAGCTAGTAAAACTACGATACAGTGGCTAAATACTATTATAGAAATAACCTATAATAACCTTGGAGATCTAGATAAAACTGAGGCAATCATACACATTTTCATACACCTTATATACCCTTTTATAATCTTGTACAAACCGGACTCACAGCAAAAGGACTGAACAGGGACAGACGGAATAGAGTAACAAGTACAAACAACATTCAGCCCATTCACACCCGTGTATTCGAGTGTTTGTGTGTATGTTTGTGTTGGCGTTTGCGTTTATGCTTGAGTTTACGTTTGCCATTAACTTTCCGTTTGCGTTTCAGTTAATCTTTATGTTTGCTTTTCAGTTTGACTTTATGTTTACGTTTATGTCAGTGTAATTTTTTTTTGGTATTGTTTACGTTTGTGCTTCCGGTTATGTTTGCGTTTATGTTTGCGTACAATTTTGGTATTTGTTTCGGTATAAATTTGCGTTTATGTTTGCGTCTATTATATAGATTATATATATATATATATATATATATATATATATATATATATATATATATATATATATATATACTAGCCGTCCCGGCCAGGCCCTGCTCTGGCTTCTGAAAAAAAAAACCTTTCTGTTAAAGACCATTACCTGTGTGTTTAGTAATCATCATAAACCCGGCATTGCCCACCCAAACCACAACCAACCAAAACCAAAACAACAAAACGCAAACATAACGCTAACGCAATTACAAATACAAACGAAAACAAAAACCTAACAACAAACTCAACCACAAACACCAATACAAACACATAGAAAAAACAAACAAAAAAGCAAACAAAAACCTAACAACAAACCCAACCACAACCACAAACACCAATACGAACACAAAGAAAAAAACAAAAGAAAAAGCAAACGAAAACAAACCAAATCCAAACGCAAAACCAACCACAAACACAAACACAAACCCAAAGAAAGAAAACACAAACGAAAAAGCAAACGACAACAAACCAAAACCAAACGCAAAACCAACCACAAACACAACCACAAACACAAATACAAACCCAAAGAAAAAAATACAAACGAAAACGAAAAAAGAACGAACAAAAACAAACCAAATCAAAACGCAACCACTAACGCAACCAAAACACAAAGAAAACACAAACGCGAACATAAACGCAAAGTGCTCACAGTCTAGCCCGGGGCAGAATCGCCTGTTTCAGCTTAATAAACGACTATAGTACCCCAACTTATTCATAGTCTTGTGCACGCACTTAAACGAACGTAGGTGCCAAACCAAACCAAATGAACAATTATAATACTCCAAGCTTATCCATAAAATACCTACAACATTTGCACTTGATCAATCCCCGCTAATTATGTAATTATTTTTTCCCAACACCAAAACAAAGTAATAAAAAGTAAATTCTTTTCTACTAATGCAATGGTTTTATAAAGTGAAGTAATTGTGCTTTCCTAATTTATCAAAGGGAAGTAAGTGCTAAAGGACTCAATATAAATAATTTTCAGACATAATTAGAATTTTTGTAAAAGATGATATTTTTTTAAAATTGTGTTTAATGAACATGCCGACAATTATTACTATCAGTTTGAAAAATGAAAATTATTTCCTAACACTTTCAATAATAATTTTTTAACTCATAAATTTAGACAATGAGCACGATAATAATCTAACACTTAAATCCAACGAGATATGTCAACGACAAACTTCTTACATGTTACATACAGAATTGAGCTTTATATATTATATATATATAAATATATATATATATATATATATATATATATATATATATATATATATATATATATATATATATATATACTATGCATTTTTTAATCAGAAAGCCAAAGTGCAAATTATTTGTGTTAGTGTCTTGCCTTTTAGGCATATTCAACTAGTGAAGAAAATATATAACTAAGGTTTAAAAAAATGAAAATTAGAAACATAAAAATAAATATAATTTGTTATTTCACCATATGTTCTTCATCATAGCTTTACGTATACATGTATAGTTTTCACTTTTACTCTAATTAAAAAACACCCCGTTATTCATGAAAGTTTTTCCCAATAAGCAATGAAAGTTTAGTATAATTAACAATATTCTGTATATTTGTACTAACTCAAATGGTATATTCCGCATAAAGATATTTAAAATTGTAAATCACTGTGTCGTGTTTTTTTCATAGCACACAATGTCAACACAACGGTTTTTGACAAGCTCTGTGGCCTTTGTTGAAAGTTAATTTACCCAGCTTACAATTTTATTTTCCCTACGACATGTAGAATACATATAAACATCTGTGTTGTCCGGTAATAACGGAGACCAAAGGAAAAAAATAATTCAATATAGTCTAGGCACTCATAATTGCGGCAATAAAAGTTTAAAACTGCTCTATTTAGGATGGTTGTTTCTTTTGTATTGAATTAGGTAACTTCATAAAATATACTTCGTAATGTTTCCTATTTCAGTTTATATGCGTGAGTGGCCTTTCTTGCTTATAAGCTCTGTTTTTTTTTAATCAGGAACGAATTTACTTTTAATAAGATTTTGGGAATTACTTTCTAATTTATATTTTTTCATGGTTATAAAATTTTTTTTTTGTTTTTACATACAACTATGTTGCAATTGAAATGCGTCATATGCTTAAATGAAAGATAATTTAAGATATAGTATTTAATGTAATTGTTAATACCGTGATAGTTGTTTCAAATAGTAATTGTTACCAATTATTACAGATATGGTTGTTTGTGTGCCTTGTGCTTACTTATTTTAGTGATATCAAGTTTTATAATCATGAATAAACATACAATACATTTTAAATAATAATTCATTTTGAAAGTCAGAATACTATGCAATATATCAAACTTTATTTTAACGAAAATAGAAAAGTACAAATAGTCTGTTTACAAAGGATTAAATATTCTGCTTACAACGTAATAACTATTTTGTTTACAAAGTAACCAATGTTTTGTTTACAAAGTAACCAATGTTTTGTTTACAAAGTAATCAATAGTCTGTTCAACTTATAGCTGACTGGTCTGGTCAGTTAAACCATCTGATTCTTTGTCTGGAAATACAAAAGAATTTTTATAAATTATTGCATTTTCTATATTCATGATAAAAATGACTCAAAATATATTTATACTTTTAATTAATTTGGTGTATTTTGATAGCTCTCAATAAGAGCGACAAATAGCAAGCTACGCATTTCTTCGCTGACCTTTCGTATTCATGTTGTTTTCTGTTTCTTCTTTCACCATCTCTGTCTTCACCTCTGTCACGCCTGTTCTCTCTTTCATTTTGGCCTTCTTCGTAATTTCTTGAGTCTCTTCTATCATCTCTATCTTGATCTCTATCTCTGCTGTCATCTCTGTCTCTGCTTTCATCCCTGTCTCTGCTGTCATCTCTGTCTCTGCTTTCATCTCTGTCTCTGCTGTCATCTCTGTCTCTGCTTTCATCCCTGTCTCTGCTGTCATCTCTGTCTCTGCTTTCATCTCTGTCTCTGCTGTCATCTCTGTCTCTGCTGTCATCTCTGTCTCTTCTGTCATCTCTATCTTCATCTCTACCATCTCTACCATCTCTACCATCTCTGCCATCTCTACCATCTCTACCATCTCTCTCATCCCTGCCACGATCCGATTCGTCTCTGATCTCCTCAATATCTCTGCAGTCTACCGCCCCATTTTTATCCCTGTCCAAATCATCAAAATGATCCTTCAGTGTCCTTCTTTTCTGTGGGTTATCGGTTCTAGAATCAACCCAGCGCTCATACTTTTCTCTCGTCAATTGTCTGCTCCTGTCTTGCTCCTATACCAACATGAAAAATTTATTTAACATATTTCAATCATGAATTTTGTTTGTTTGACCTTACACTTATATATTTTTCATTACAGAAATTATGTATTTAATTCTATATTTTACTAACACAACTTCATAAATTTTCTGTTAGAAGTGTGAATAAAATTTACGTTCTATATTTATAGCAGGATGCACTGAAACATTTAGTCTATTACTTCTTGTTAACTAATAATTAACTACGCACGGCTACTCTATATTACACATTTATAAAACAGCTGTCACTTACACGGCATCGCTCTTCCGTCTCTTCTCTATCCTCCCTCGCATAAGCTTCAATTCGTCTGAGCTGTCTAGCAACATGTCTACGAAAATAACAATTCCACGTTTAGAGATTTAACAGAAAGTACAAGCGTTCAATGTTCAAGCTTTATAAATATCAACTAAATCAATAAAACACGAACACAAGAAAAGAGACTGCTTTTAAAACCAGTACGGACAAAATTATTTTATTACATTAAATATTCACTGTTTTAAAGTCAATTTTCTTATTGCGTGAAATATGACATCCGAATATACATGAAAAAAAATTACATTTGAGACTGTTTATGTTTATAAAAATACACACACATTAAAACAACTGAATTATCTCAAAGTTGTTACATACCTTTTGTATTCATCCTCAGACAGACGACCGTCTCTGTCAGTGTCAGCCTGATCAAAGATGGCGTCAACATCTCGTCTGTCCAGAACACCGTTTCTATCTTTATCCAGGTCATCGAAATGCTCCTTCAGAATTCTTCTGGTCTGTGGGTCACGGTGCTCAGTGTCGACGTGACGGTCATATTCCTCTCTGGTCACTTGACCGTCTTGGTCATCGTCTTTATCCTAGACATTTTTATCCAAATATTATAATGTATTGCAACATGTATCGTTTCTTTTTTTTTTTTTTTGTAAATTACAATAGTAAATCTCACGACATGGCATTAATACATTTTAAAATTCTAATTTTAAATTATACATTTCAAAACCTAGAACAAACAAATATCAAATATTAACCAGCTTAATCAATTTACAGTTGGTTCACAGATCCAACCATAAAGCTTCATTGTGACACGTACATGAATCTGATCCTGTAGCTCTGATCTTGAGACCCTCCTGTCACCATCTCTGTCCATCTCTCTGAAGGCCCGTGACGCTGCTGTGTCAGATCTTCTGTCACATCTGCTGGACACGATACGGTTCAATTGTCTCTCAACTTGCCTGGTAGGTGGAAACAGTGGCAATGATAAATGATAAATAAAATACGAACAATAAAATTTCACAATTGTACGAATATTTGAATATTGAAACAAAGCGTTGAGTATCTGGGTGAAATTGAATGTGTTCAAGATTTTAACATCATTACCTGATAATTTTTATATTTAAAAAAATAAAAACATAAAGATATTTTTCAATTTGACTATTGCTATCTGTATTTGGAAAAGTACTTCCAATTGTACAACTTACAAGGTTATAACAAAGTTTTGAACCAACCTGTCGTACCATCCTGTGATAGCCCAAACCAAATGTAAGAACAAAGTTTTGAACCAACCTGTCGTACTCGTCTTGTGAGAGACGGTCATCTCTGTCCGTGTCCGCCTCATCAAAGTTTGCTTCAGCGTCTCTTCTGTCCAGAACACCATTTCTATCTTTATCCATGTGCTCAAAAAGCTGCTTCAATATTCTTCTGGTCTGGGGGTCGGGCTTTTGCTCATCCACCCTACGGTTATATTCTTCTCTCGATATCTCTCGGTCGCCTACTCTGCTCTGTATGATATATAATGAACGTTTTAATCCTTAAACAACACATGTTTTGTAAGATCAAATTATTCATAAGCTGCATTTAGTCAAAGTTAAAATTTCAATCCATGAAATTTTTCTGTTCTGCTACATTTATTCATGGATGTTTACAACATCTTTCTATAAATCTGTGGGTTCAATAAAAATATTTAATGTTTTTAAAAGCTAAAACTTTTTATGGCTATCTAATATTCGTGGCGATGAAATAAAGATGCATCTTACATTCCAGTGGTTCTGCATCTCCTGTCTAGACACCTGTCCATCACAATCTTGATCCAGTCTACTTAATGACTGGGATTTTAAGGATTTCATTATCTCGACTAGCTGGCGAATGCGTTGTCTTTGGTGGTGTCTGTTAAATGTATCACCATAATGTTAGGTTTTATATATATATATATATATATATATATATATATATATATATATATATATATATATATATATATATATATATATATATATATATATATATGTAAACATTATTTATTTATAATTTATCAGAAATATGTCGACGTAGCATAATAAGGTGTCAGTTCTATAATTATCCTGACCTCTGATATTCCTCGTGACTTATTCTGTCATCTCTGTCAGTGTCAGCCTGATCAAAGATGGCGTCAACATCTCGTCTGTCCAGAACACCGTTTCTATCTTTATCCAGGTCATCGAAATGTTCCTTCAGAATTCTTCTGGTCTGTGGGTCACGGTGCTCAGTGTCGACGTGACGGTCATATTCCTCTCTGGTCACTTGGCCGTCTTGGTCATCGTCTTTATCCTATGTTAGACCAAAAGCATTTCCAGAGAAAGTATACATAGTTCTAGAAATTATTACTTTTATACGTATATGATATTGATATATAGTTGGTAAGCTATAATTCTGTAGGTCACTCCTAATAAACATAAATTTACCTGTATTCTGTTGGTCATCTCAGATCTAGAGAGTTGACCATCACGGTTCTTGTCCAATTCCCTGAAGGACTGGGAACTGTCTTGATCAACATACCTACCCAAAGCCAGGGATAGGATGCAAAACACGCATGCAAGTCGGAAGTTCATTGTTGTGATGATTCTGGGGAAAAATTTTATTACAACATATTTTTACATGTTAGCATTAGAAAAAGACTAGTATCTTACACATTTGTCAAACTTAGACCAGATCGATGATTAATTAATACACGTTGTAAATAATTAAATTTCAATGATAAAAAGTCGTACTTGAGAATTACTTATCATGTGTACAAATTCTAAGAAAACAAGAAAATGAGAGAATATTTAAATTTTATAAGATGGCGTGGCCTAGCGGTAGAGAGCTAGACTTCGAAACCAAATGGCTCGAGTTCGAATACTGGTTCAAGTCCTTGAGTCCACCCAGCTCTGATGGGTCACTAGCTCACATTAAGGAAAGCAAAAGCGGCTGGGATAGTGCTGACCATACTATCTTTTCGTATGTCGAGGTCTCCGAAAAGATGAACTCTACTTCATCTGTCCCATGTGCCTTGGTCACGAACTGGATAAGATGATGTTTAAAAATATGCATACCTAGTAGCTGTTGTAGTAGTGAATTCAGATGCCGCTGAGCAGGTTTATATATGTTTCTAGCGGTAAACCTTAACCTTTGATAAGTTGTGCACTAAGTGATCATGCATGAACTTCTTGCTGTTTTTGTTTGTCATGATGTCGAGGCTATGTTTATCTGGCTGAGTCCCAGTGTAAAAATCTAAAGTGTAAATTTTGGCATACCAACTAAACAAAATATTGATGCTGGTAAATTGTTAAAAGTGCTGACTTTAGAAGAGTGTACACAATGGTAAATATTTGTGTTGTGAGGATTTTATTTTGTTGTATACAAACAAGATCGGATAAAAATAGGACAGTAAAACTTGGCAAACTACTCAGTGTTGCTTATCAGAAACTAGCTGAATTTGTGTTTTCTTCTCTTTAATTATAACAAAACGTTAGTAAAGTACTTTTCTTGACAACAATTATCAAAGGGCAGGTATAATTGACTTATTTTCTTTTTTAAACCTTGAGAAATCCAAGAAATGAGAATACATTTGAGTGGTCATAATGTCCAGTGAATTTATGCAATGTTCTGACATCTCTTCAAACTTTCTATATTTTTGACTCGGTTCTCTAGAGAGGTACCCGTCAAAGCTGGTTACATTACACGTGTGGTAACACAGTAGAATTAGTTGTATCGTAAGAGCAGTGTTTCTTTCAGAAATTTTTTCCAGGTTGGGAGGAGCACTTGAAACTTTTTTGTGGGGGGGGGGGGGGACTGGTTAGAGTATATATTTTGTATATAAGTTCTATTTCGTTCGAGGCGAGGGGTGGGAAACGATAGAAGACTGAATCCATTAGATAAGGTTGAATATTGGGATTCTGACAGTATATTTTTGCTTAAAACTTCATTATTTGCTTTTATCTTAAAAAAATAATAGCATTACATTCAACTTATTTTATCGATACAGCCCTGCCATAATAATGATTGTGCTCTTATTGTGACAGTAGTGTATACCAAATCCCAAAAGTTGGCGCTATTTAATGCCGGTCATTTGAACGCTGTACTATCTTCCAGTCAACACACACACACATACTACGCTATCTATACATTCAAACATACATAGCAAGATAATAAGGTCCACTTTCTAATCATTTTAGGCGTTTGTGATTTACTTGTACCTTTTTCTTTCACCCCGTGGCCCTCTTTTATTTACGCTAGTGTTAAGGTATTTCAGCACCGAATGAAGAACGAAGCATTTTCGTCCCACTCTTGACATCCTCTAGAACTGAATGAGAATCCTTCATGTGTTAACCTCCCCCCCCCCCCCCCCCCCCCCCCCCCCCCTCTACCCAGTCAAACAGATCCAATAAACGGAGACTTTCGCGTTAATAGACCTCACAGTTACTCTTCTTCTTCGTTCTTGATTTTTAATCTTGGCAAGTATTCCTCAAACATAATTAAATATCACGTGTCAACTTGTTATGCGCCTTTGGAGCCATTGACTGCAATTTCAGCTTGCTTTTCTTTTTGGATTTGCCTCCGTAGCCTTTGTCGAAACCAAGAACAAACTACAAGGCAGTAGTTGTTTAATTTTGGAGTTGTCTTTCCTAGAAGAGCTGCTGGTCCCTGCTATCGAGCCTCAACTGGCTGTGTTTGAATGCTAGAGTTTTCGGTTTAGCAACCATAAATACATAAATAGACTTTTTTGGTACCACAGTAATGCTAAACGTAATTTCAACTTTTAACACATTTTTAAAAAAATAAATATTTTTTTTATAGTCATGCGTGTCAATAGTGCTAGTAACTTGAACCATATTGTCAGATATTACGACTTTTAAATGTCCTATTTTTGAGGTCTGTAGTTTACAAAAAAGATGGTGGGGGGTGGGGGGTCATTTTGATCGTTATGGGGGTAGAAAATATATTTTCAGGTATCGAATGTTTTAGCCAGGCAAGTAGATGTTATAAAAATCATCATCATTATAATTATCTTTTCCCAATCGTTTCCAAGGCACATGGGACAGATAGAGTTCACCTGTCACATTTATTTCGGCATACAAGGGGATAGTGTGGTCAGCACTATGCACAGCCGCCTTCGTGTCCCCTAAAGTGAGTCAGGTACCCATCAGAGCTGGGTGGTCCCAGGGATGTGCTACGATCTCAAGTCCGAGCCGAGAACTGAACTCGAGACCTTCAGGCCAGCAGCCAAACGATCATACAAATTAAAATTAATAATAGTTTAAAGGCTTGTCTGTATGTACTGTGTGTTACTAATGGAACTTACTTTTTTACATTACAATAAATAAAGCATGTATTAGAATCGTGGGTTGGTTTATGTATTTGGGCGATAGAAGTTTTTACCAGCCTAGAGCTTATAAACATAAAATTTGCTAAGACAACTAAACTCTGTATTAATAGGGTACTTTTTGTACACTATTTTCTCATAAGTCATTTCGATATTCTGTTTTAACTTTAAAGAAATGCACATACATTTCTCTTAAAACAGTTTTAAAAAATGAAGAAGCAGAAAATGTTTTATATGCAAGTAAATAAAAGTTTATTTAAAAAAATTTAAAACATCATTTAGACAGCGATAGATTTAAAGTATCTGAAAAAGAACAAAAATGAGCAGAAAAGATTAATAAAAGTTTTAAAATTACTATCAGTAGGGAAACATGCATTTTAAAATTTAAAAAAAACAAACAAATCTTGTTGGTTATTTTTTTGTACAAATAAGTGGCATGAATATTGCTTAGTGTTACATTTAACCCTTAGTATGGTCAACTTTGTTTACTATCCCCCAATTCAATTCAGGCACCCTTGAGGACCGTGTGGAGTTTGGGACGTTCTATGGCATCGTGCCTGTAATCCACACTCGTAACTTTAAAATAGGAAATAATGCCCGTACGTTTCCATTTGTGATTTACTCTAGATACCTAATGTATTCCTGTACCAGGATTCCCCTATATTTTCTACTCTAGCTAACTAATATATTCCTGTACCATAATTCCCCACCCATATTATTTCCTCTCTAGCTACCTAATGTATTCCTGTACCATAATCCCCCACCCATATTATTTCCTCTCTAGCTACCTAATGTATTCCTGTACCAAGCTCCCCCTATATATTCTACTCTAGCTACCTAATATATTCCTGTACCATAATCCCCCACCCATATTATTTCCTTTTTAGCTACCTAATGTATTCCTGTACCAAGCTCCCCCTATATATTCTACTCTAGCTACCTAATATATTCCTGTACCAAGCTCCCCCTATATATTCTACTCTAGCTACCTAATATATTCCTGTACCAAGCTCCCCCTATATTTTCTACTCTAGCTACATAATATATTCCTGGACCATAATCCCCCGCCCATATTATTTCCTCTCTAACTACCTAATGTATTCCTGTACCAAGCTCCCCCTATATATTCTACTCTAGCTACCTAATATATTCCTGTACCAAGCTCCCCCTATATTTTCTACTCTAGCTACATAATATATTCCTGTACCATAATCCCCCGCCCATATTATTTCCTCTCTAACTACCTAATGTATTCCTGTACCAAGCTCCCCCTATATATTCTACTCTAGCTACCTAATATATTCCTGTACCAAGCTCCCCCTATATTTTCTACTCTAGCTACATAATATATTCCTGTACCATAATCCCCCGCCCATATTATTTCCTCTCTAGCTACATAATATATTCCTCTACCAAGATCCCCCACCAATATTATTTCCTCTCTAGCTACCTAATATATTCCTCTACCAAGCTCCCCCACCAATATTATTTCCTCTCTAGCTACATAATATATTCCTCTACCAAGATCCCCCACCAATATTATTTCCTCTCTAGCTACCTAATATATTCCTCTACCAAGCTCCCCCACCAATATTATTTCCTCTCTAGCTACCTAATATATTCCTCTACCAAGCTCCCCCTATATTTCCTCTCTAGCTACCTAATATATTCCTCTACCAAGCTCCCCCACCAATATTATTTCCTCTCTAGCTACATAATATATTCCTGTACCATAATCCCCCACCTATATTATTTCCTCTCTAGCTACCTAATGTATTCCTCTACCAAGATCCCCCACCTATATTATTTCCTCTCTAGCTACCTAATATATTCCTCCTGGTTAATCTCGCCATTATTGTTGGCGTCAGCATCAGCGAAGATCTTGTTGTAGTCGACGTTGTTGAGGATGTTGTTGCCGTCGGTGTCTAGAGCACTGAACAAGCCACGGATGACGGTGTTGGTCGTCTGGTCTGGGTAGTTTTGATCGACGTAGTGGGAGTACTCGGGTCTGCTCACGTGACCGTCGTTGTTTTGGTCGTAGTTCTGAAAGTTTAAGATAAAAAAACAAAACACCCCTTAGAATACATGTTTTGTTTAGTGACTATGATAATTAAAAATTTGATTTCTGATTTGTTTAAAAAAAAACAACCATTCAGAGGCGTTTAATGATGTAAGGCATAAAAAGAACAAAATTATCAAAGTAGATTGGGTTGTTTAAAATTCAGATCAATTCGATCAATGATGCGAAAGATAAAATAATATTTACATCAAAGTAGTTATCTATTTCTGATTTTGAGACGCGGTTGTCGTCGTTGGAGTCTACTCGTTTGAAGGACGCAATAGCGAGGGCGTCTATGTCCTGTCCGAGGATGAGGGCGGGGAGGCACAGGAGGAGGGCGAATAGCATGGACATTGTGAGATTTCCTGGAGAAAATCAGATCATCAATCAATTATATATATATATATATATATATATATATATATATATATATATATATATATATATATATATATATATATATATATATATATATATATCCTAATATATAAAACCCCACGTTCGCACATCTCTCTCTCTCTCTCTCTGTCTGTCCGCAAAATATTTTCGCCGGACATCACGTCAGAATCGGCAGCGATATATGAAGAACGTTTTACGGACTTTTGTTGAAAATAATATGTTAGATGTTTTAAATGTATAACCACAATTTTATTTAAAGAAGAAAAATAAAAAATAAAGGCGTATTCGAATATAGAGAAACAGTATTATTTATGCAACCGGAAAAGTGTATAAACTTGGGAAAAGAACGCATTTAACAATGACGTCGCTTATTGTTTACACGAAAACACTAAAACAAGAGCACGAAACTGATGACGTCATCTTCCGAGTTTAGAATTTTAAAAATGAACTATTTCATTCAAATATGATTTAGAGCTATGTACGCTATGAAATGTATACAATACGATTTTCTCGGCCTAAACTTAAAAAAAATTATTTTATCTATTTGGATTCTAGATCTAGAGATTCTAGATCTAGATATTGATCTAGATCTTGATGTTCTAGATCATCTAGATCTAGAAATTCTAGATCTAGATGATCTATAAAGCTAAGTTGTCGGGTTCCCGATGTGTCCACGGAGGAACCTCTTCATAACTCCTGAGGTCGTAGACCGACCCTCGGGCGAATTAATTAAGCATTCAAATTCTCAATGTTTTCGAAAGCCTAAGCGAAGCTGGGCAGCATGCCTAGTATATATATATATATATATATATATATATATATATATATATATATATATATATATATATATATATATATATATATATAATACAAATACAAATACAAACATATTTATGTATAACTAATAATGTGCTTGAATGTAATATATTTATAAATAATTCCAATTAAATTATAAAATATAATCATGTATTCATTGATTTGTATTTTAGAATCTAACTGAACAGTTTCGTTCCATTTGTATAGTACCGAAACGTAAGCTATACACTTCTAACTACCTCTGATACGCTCTTGTAATCTTTACCCAGAGATGGAATTATGTGAATAGCTTTGTATATGGGCCTGCACGTCTACTTCTATCTCATTTATAAAATAGTATTCTGATTGTAAAGGCAATAGTTATAGAGACCCGATACTTACTTTAGTAGCAAAGTTTCCTTTACATACAATGATAATCACATCATCACCACGCTTTTATTTATACCTATCCTAACTCACGTCCCAGTAAAAAAAAAAACCACCTTTTACACAAAAAATCTCCACGATCTACTAAAATCACTGAAGATAAGATCATAATCCCGATAAGAAATATTTTAGATCCATAACCTAGAAATTGATCTTCCAGTTCAAATGAAAGTTGAACGTGTGGTTGGTCTATCCTACATATGTGTAACTACAAGATTGCGAGTTGTAAATCCTGTTACTTTTGTTCTGGTGATGGACTGGCCCGCCAGTTTACCGGGAAAATTCCTGGCGAGTCCACAGGAAAAAAATGTCGATGGGTCCCAAAAATGTGTTGGTATTTCTCTATTTCACCTTTTTCATTCCCTTATACTAGGGCCTAAAATGCAGGCTTTTATTGGGGAAAAAAGCACTTAGAAAATTTTAATCGGGGGTTGTAGACGCCTTTTAAAACTTCCCTGGCCACTAGGGCACAGCCCTCTTGTCATCATAAACACTTGTAAATAATTGTTAGATGTAGCTACAAATGTTGAGCAGACACTTAAGGAACTTGTATATAAAAGTTTTATCTTGAAGCAGCGGTAGACTGGTGCTGTCTAATCGGCCCAGGAAAAAAAAATAAAAGCGCCCCCCTCCCAATTTAAATACAAAAATAACAAAATGACAAGATGGGTTGATTAATTAAATAAGTCATTTAAACAGTATTGAAATAAACTAATACGCCCATCACAACACCGATCATGTCGCCCCACTGGATATTTCCTGGGCCCTCACCAGGATTTATCCCGATGCCCGCCCCCTCCCATCCCGTCTTGAAGAACATCTTATTGGGAAAGTGTAAATTAGGAAAACTAAACGCGAGTGACTTGGTACACCTTAATCAAAATTACGTCGGTTTTAATTAGTGTATTTAAACTGGTAACTCTATAAATGGACACTAGACAATAACCTTTTAAAAGCACGTGACAAATAGGAAAACACATGAGCAATACGGAAAGACATTAGGACTACGGAAAGACATGATTTGGAAACCATTTGAACAGAGCACCTGCTTATCTGTTCACGTGACTAGGTTGTGGCTATGATGTGTCTAGGTTGTGTCTAGGTTGTGTCTGCGGTGTGACTGGGTTGTAACGAGCTGTTGATGATCTTACTTAACCGGCCCCTTGTACTGTGATGGTACATGATATTTTGTTAAAAATCTGTGGAGGTTTTATGTCCTCAGTCATGTAATTTACAGCGTCGATTTACCTTGCTATGTTCGCTTTAGCATTATAGTTTTTATCTTCGGCTTGTGAGGACTGATACAGATTTACAGTAGTAATACCTCTTTCTGTCATTTACTTTCATACAATGAAAACGGTTTACTTGTGAATCATACAAAAAAATTAAATTGTGAATCGACGTTCTATGGAGATTTGGGAAGTCAAAAAAAGGGGAAAACTTGAAATTAAAATAAAATAAAATAGCAGGGCATTTGTTTTCACTGTTTTTGGTGGGTTGGGGAGGGGTTTATGGGCTTATAACTGGAGCTGAAATAATAAAGGGGTAGTGTTCAGCGCAATGCCCAGCCGCCTTAGTTTTCCTAGCGTGAGTCGGGTACCCATCAGAGCTGGGTTGACTTAGTGACGTTCTACTGACTTGAACACGGATTCGAACAGTCAACCTAAAAATTACCTTTGCTACCAGTTTATTTTCGTCTTCTGCTCTTTCTCAAGTCGGTTAAATTCAGTGTGATTGCTTTATTTGTACTGGCTGTTTGATTTGTTGTTGTTAGTATTTTTGCTTTCATTGTTGTTAGTATTTTTGCTTTCAGTACTAAACTACACTCAAATTTAATGTGTCTCTCTGTTTCTCTGTTTTGTCTACATGTTTGATGGGAACAGGGCATTACCCCCCCCCCCCCATTTACCTCCCGGACATCCCTCCGACATTACCCCCCGGAGTAATTAGGGCTGGGCTAGGGCTAGGGCTAGGGCTAGGGCTAGGGCTAGGGCTAGGGCTAGGGCTAGGGCTAGGGCTAGGGCTAGGGCTAGGGCTAGGGCTAGGGCTAGGGCTTGGGGCTGGGGCTGGGGCTGGGGCTAGGGCTAGGGCTAGGGCTAGGGCTAGATTTAGGGTTACGATTAGAGCTAGGGAAATGGTCTGTGTTAGCGTCAGGGCTAGGATTAGGATTAGGGTTAGTGTTATGGTCATGTTTAGGCTTAAACTAATGTCTAGAGTTGGTTTTGGTTTTGTGATAAATGTTATGCTGAGGGGAATGCTTAGGTTTTTGTTTTTTTCTTGAGGTTATATAAGTATAGAATTTGAGTTAGAATTAGGATTCTAACTTGGGGGTGGGGGGAGGGGGGATTAAAAGGGGGATAATTGCTCAGAGGGTAAATACAGGGGGCTTTGTCCTGCGGGCAATTGACGGGGACTGGGGGGGGGGGGGAGTAATGTCCTGTAGCCATGTGTGACATGTTATATTGACATTTTGTTTTGTTTTTATTAATGAGCGAAACAGGTGGTGTTTTAAATATGCATTTTTCTCTTTTTTTGTATAACGCGTTTATTGTGTAGTTTTCAAAAATGTATATTTCTATTTAATAGACTAAAAAACAGAATGTTCCATAATTTTTATATTTTATCAAAACATGCAATCAGTCTGCACTTTAAAAAAAAACTCTGACATAATTATTTATTATTTGCAATCTACAAATTTGTTTCAAAGTAGGTCATCTGGTCCAGAGGCGGATTAAGCTTGAGCGGGGCCCTCAGGCTGAAAATTTTTTGGGGCCCCCCATACGTTTATATATATATATATATATATATATATATATATATATATATATATATATATATATATATATATATATATATATATATATATATATATATATATATATATATATATATATATATATATATATATATATATATATATATATATATATATATATATATAAGCCGGCTGGTAGTGTTAATCTGGCAAGATAGTTAAAATACACTTGGTTTTGCATCATTCAGCTGTATTAGTATTTATCTTGTATTTACAAACAAGATAAATAATCGAGTCAAAATCAATTCGAAAATGATGAAGGAACTAAAGATCCAGGATTTCAAAACATACGTCAAGTTTGTATGATGTTAGTTTATGTGATCTCCACTTAACACATGCAGATCTGAAAATGTAGGCTAGGCCTAGTCTAATGTAATTTACTCTCTGGTTGTGTTTTATAATGTTTTATAAGCGAGGTCAATCAAAAAACTAATTTTTTAGTCCAGTGTCACACGTTTTATTATTTTAAGGACAGCTCTCTTTAATAAACATTGTCTTACGGGAAGCGATGAAAGCAATGTATAGCTTGTGCGTGTGTGTCTGTCTAAACGACAAACGTATACTTTCATGGAAGAATACATGTCAAATTTATATGTGTAAAAAAGATAAGCTGAAGGGTTGAACGTTAAAACATTCATTGAGATAGTAAAAACAAAAATCGACAGGAAAATCGACGAATAGTGTGTACTATTGTTAAAAAGTGAAAATTTTGGAGCACCTAAGATTTGGGGACGAGCTAAGGCCTCACGACTTCAATAGCGGTACACCATGTCCTTGTTGCCATCACTTGGCGTCTAGATTTGGTTTTAATTATTGTTAATTTGGCACATACAAACATCGTTACTATCCGACCTGTCACTTCCAATAACTCACACTCAAAACACAATTCTTACCTAACAAAAACGTTGTGTTTTTTAACGGTGCTGACAGCCGGATCCGTAGGTCTCTACTATTTTCTATTTTCTTGGGGCTATAGGGCTAAAGGGTTGCCCTATCACTAGCTGGTCACATTATTGTTAACAATTAGGCGGATTACTCATAAACAAACGTGTAGTAAAACTTGTTTTTTTATTTGTTTTGATGAGATTCAGTTTTTTTTTCCTGGCACAGGCTGTTGTACCCATTTATGTTCCAGAAAAAGTATTACTATTAGGCCCCTATTTAAGATGTGTCGCTTTAGGTAAACCGTTTCCGTGGGGAAAGCGATGACAGCTGCTGTAAACACTGGGAGTAGGATTTTTGTATGGCCTTTGTTTGTTTAAAAAATAGCTTGTAATTTAGGCATTAAAAGAATGATTTTACTAACATAAAAAAACATATGTAGAAATAAAAAATGAGTTATTGGGGGCGAATTTGTGGACCCCTTAAAATGCTGCTTGTATGAATGCTTGGGAGTGAGATTTAATAAACAGTGCAGACCATTTGCCTAACGTATGTGCGTTATTGTATGATTACTCCCTTACTACAGAATCTGGATTTATATGACGAAATGACATTCAAATTTCTATCTTACTATTTTAAAGAGGGTCAATCTTAGGCCCTAAACTTTTTGGTCTGAATTCCGCTGCTGTTTGTGGTATTTTTTGAAACTCTAAAAATCAACTCATTTTAATGACATAAGCAAACGCTGGTCCGGACGATATTATTTTAGGGATCATCAGCTTAATGTAAAAAACGTCTGAGTACGAGGTGATGACAGCTAGTAATTATACTGAAGTGTGTGCACGTGTTTGATATTTAGAAAAAAAAATGGAAAAAGTGATTTATGCATTAAATCGTTGATTGTTATAGTAAAAACAACAATTAAGTTGTAAAGTGAAATTTACTATGATTTGTAAGTGAAAATGTGGGGTACTTAAAATTCGGGGGCCCCTGACTGCAGTTCCCTCAGCCCCCCCCCCCCCCCCTCCGCCTACCTTAATCCGCCACTGATCTGGTCTAATTCAAACCCGCACAACGTGCAAAACCTCTCATGAAATTATTTTTATAGAGTCAAATCCCCTTTCATGTCACCATATATGACAGTGGACACTCACGGGGAAACTAGAAGATCTGGAGTTTGCAGATGATCTTGCCTTACTCTCGCACAGGATACAGGACATGCAAGAAAAGGTTGATGCATTAGGAGCCATCTCGCAGCGCGTAGGTCTGAAGATCAACAAAGAAAAGACGGAAATGATGATAATTAACAATAAACAGGAGGCTCCAGTGACAATAGACGGAAGACAGGTAAATGAT